GCAAGTTATAGTCACCCATGCCCAAAGTAATGCGCTGTATATGACTGAACGAAGCCACGAGTGAGTCAGATTCACCTTTATACACCCCTTGCTCTGTCGTTGCTCTACATTTTCTCATCGCATTAGGCGGCTTGAGAGTTCTGCACGCTGTTGTGGCCTGGGCCTCCTTCTAATATCGACCGACCGACTGCCCCGCCGTGGTTTTCGGTGATGGCAGGTCATATAGTCTTTTGTGACACCAATCAGGGTTCAAACTCAAGGTGGACAACACGTCGTGTTGGAGTCAGACTGAAAGTACCCATACCGGGAGGGTGTTTTCAAAGTTCTTTTCCACGGGAGATACCGTCTTGTCATCACTGTGACGGTCGTCTTCTTGGTCTTCAGTTGGGTCTTATAGTTGCGACGATGGGTGAATTCAGGATGGGACATGAAAGGAGAGGTCGAGCTGTCGTCTGACCCCTGTATTGCAGTCCCAACGAATGACCTCACAGTTATCCACCGTCCGGTTTTGCGGCGCGCAGGCAGTTGAGAGTTATGCAGTGGCAACCGGTCCGACCAGAAGGTGAAGTCAGATTGTATCTAAGGGAGCAAGACAATGGTAGGCCAAAAGGTCAAACAGACTTATGCAACGAGACACGGTCAATAGTACGGCGCCTTCGGACGAAGCATGGATATGATGAATGATTAGGAGGGATTGGATCCCAAGTGTGTTTGAAACGGGAGGCGCAAGAAACGGCGATGAGGTCGAAGTTGGAAAAGGTGTATGGCCATTTGGTTGTATATCACAAGTTCAGAAGAAGAAGAAGAAGAAAGAGGAGATGCGTCGGCCCGAGAGCCATTCTAATTTCGTTGACCCAAGGGTAAATAGATGCGCAGAGATGTCGCTTTACCTGGATGCGAGCGCCACACCGTTGTGCTGCGGCCCATGCGGTGCGCCCCGAGTCCTTGTAGGACAAAGGTGCGGGACCATTGGTTGCGAAGGAAGACTCCAGCCTAATCTCTGGAAGGGGGGCCGTAGATGAACGGGATGCCGGCCGCTGACTTGGTCAGGTTCCGGCGCCCGGAGCACACAGGGGCCCCCGGGCCGTGACGTAAGAAACAGTCCCGGGGGGCCGTGGGGGGGGGGGGGGGTCGAGTATGCCCAATGATCTTGGCAGAGCCTGACAGAATGAGCATTTTGATCATGTTAATTTACAATCCTGTTAAGATTAATTGCCACAATCAAGATGGCAGTCAAGATGGCAGCTGAGACGCTGTATGCGTGTATGACAATCATCTGAAACTAAACTGAAGGATCTACGAAAGACGCGCCACAAACCACAGAGACATAACAAATATCGGTCATCTTGCAGACCGACTCAGAGCATAATATGCCCAAAGAAAGACATAAGAACAGTCTCAATCCATCGACGATGTTTTGCTTCATTCATCCTCCGGTCTCCTCCGCCACCCCCTCGGTATTTCTTTCTCTATCTTCTTCTCCGCTTTTTTCTCCGCCGCGTACCTCTCCGCCTTCGTCCCGGCTCCACCAAATCTTGGGCTCAGGGGTCCTTCTCCGCCATTCGAGTCATCGTCGCTTGCCTCTGCCTCCGTATTGTCGTTCGGGTCCACCGAGGGTACGATAGCGAGGTGGCCGTGACGGAGGTCGTCAATGATAGCCTTGAGCTGAGCAACGGTTTGCTTGGGCGATGTCTCTGCACTATGATGCAGAGCCATTTCGTATCTACTCTTCGTTCCGGGCTTGATCCGCAATTTGACACCCAGTGCCTTCAAGCCCTGGGTAGACCATATCATCTTCTTCTGAGGTGTGAAATCGCCTGTCGATGATCCCGTGTCGGAACGGCGATGTATAGTCTCGAGAGCAGAGTCTGTAAAGGCGGAAATGATTAGCACGGAGTCGAGCCCGATCAGATGCAGACTACTTACTGAGTTGGGCGCGGAACAGAATGCCGTGCCATTTGCCAAGAACGCCGCGAGTAGCACTGTCCATCGAGCGAGTGTTTGCTGATAGATGAGACGAAAACATATGTCACATAATTGGTAACGGTAACGTGGTCTCATGCGCGCATAATCTGCGATGAAAAGCTCACCCTCTTTCAGATCTGTCGCTTCATTGGCCTTGAGTGTCTCATCCCAGCTCATCTTGGAAGCAAAATTAGACAACAAGGAATTGCCGGATGGATCCTTGAAGTCGTTGCAGTGAGCTGCAAATCTGAGCCCACCTATCGAATGCACGGTTGCCTTCGTCGCTGGCGATACGTCGTCTTGATAACGAGGGACAATGAAGGCCAGGGTTTCCACTCCGTACAGCTTGGACATGCGTTGCGCCAGGTCTCGCAATTCTGCAATGTACTTTTTGCATTGCTCCATCCGAGTTGGGGAAGGAATGTCGGATGGCGACCGTGTGATGATGGTGGGTGGTACTATCGAAGTGAAAGTCGTATTATTTCCTGCCTCTGCCGCTGCAAAAGCCGCGCGAACAAGCTCTTCATCGTCCTCGCCAAGTTGGGCAGATCCGAGGTCCCCCTGGTCTCTCAGGAAGTTCCAGAGTTGAGCGGCAAGTTTGGTGATGGATTGCGATTTCGAATGATCCGATTCTGAACACGTTTGACACACCCAGGGTATGTAAGAACAGATATTGCGGACGCAGCGGTAAGCATAAGCGAGAGCGTAGGAGAGTGGAGTGGGCATGACCGGAAGCGCCCGGAGGACCGACTCACCCTTGCTTGCTCGCTGGTGTAAAACCTTGACTACAGGGTCCGAGAGAAATCTAGACCACGCATTGCCCTTCGAAGCGAGGCTGTTGAACTTTTTGACGGCCTGAACGAGCCTTGCATGGGATATGCCGAGTTTCGCGGCCATCTTGAGCTCCGAGTAATATCTTCGAGCGGCCCAGTGCTTCAGCGAGGTCCACTTTCTTTGACTCATACGACCGGTCGCGTTCCGATGCGAGCCATGTATGGCCGTCCAGAGCCTGATAGCTCTTCGATGGTCGATCGCGACATCTTCAAACTCGCTCTCACTCTCACTGTAACTGTCGCTGTCGTCAGCCGAGGAGTGACTGGAATCGCCCCAATTGGGCTCGTCAGAGTCGGAGTCGGACGAAGGGGTTTGGGGCACGGGCATGCGCCGCTTTCTCTTCCGAGTCGGGCGTGGAGACGGTTCATCCAGAGTTGTGCTGGCTTGTGAGGATGCTCGACCGCTTTGATCGTCCCTCCGACCTGCAAGAGGTGTGAGAGAACAGAGAATTCTTCAGCTGTCCGGCAGGATTGAGTAGATAGAAGGATGAGGTCGATGACCGGCACTCTGCTCTCAGCCCTGCTACAAGGGATCTTAGTTGGCACACCAGACAAGAGCACTCACTCGGATGAGCGCCAAAGGAAATGGACTCTGCTGGAGAACCTTGCCTAGATCCCACGCGTATGTCTGACGGTCGCGTCATGGTGGAGCAACACAATTAGGCCCATGAAGGGGGATGTGAGGCGGGGAAACGCGTCCACATACCTCCATTCGGCAATAGCATCGATGTTCGTTCAACAGGCGCAGGGAGGTTTCAACGTATTGAGATGCGGGGCGTGGCGTGGGTCAAGGGTGCGCGTTGTCGCGTTGACGTGAGTGTGCAGAGGTCAACGTGTTCACGCAGAGCGCTCGCCAATCTGAGCTCCGCGTGCGGCCGCACAGCCAGGCACAGCCCCGCCTCAATTTTGCCTCTTCAATTACTCTCTGGAAATTGATGCAGGACTGATTGCCGCTGGATCCAAGTCGTCCGTCCGAAGGGGCTTCACTAGATATCCATTTTCTATACACAGTGCACACCGTTCAGAATAAGCGTTTGTCTGCTCGAGGACCGATCCAGGATTCCAGGGACCAGGACCGATCCCTCCCTCGGGCCCAATCATAGACACGGTGTGTACTCCCTCGGTCGTATCCAAACTAACAAATACAAGAAAACAGGACGAAAAGGTCTACACAGAATCTGTCGTACACATATCAGTTGATGGTATATGGAACTACACGAATTGAATGGACTGAGTACGACAAGCTGTATGACATTTATGACATAATTCGAACTTACAAGTCTTCGGAAAGTGTTATTCGTGATGATGGTGAGTCTTACACGAACTAGTAGCCCTTTATTACTTATGACCATTTGGGGTGCACTGAGCCGGGGTGGGACGGGGTGGGGAGGGCATTGGTGCACCCAACCTGTACCAACCTCCAACCGGGCCAAAAAAACAGAAAAGCTGCCTTAACTCGCCCGCGCGGGGGAGCTCATTTGGCTGGGTTAACTGACCTGCCGATCTGCACCATTGCACCTCGTTCACCAAGTCGCCGAAGCGCAAAGTGAAGGGCCCTTGCATAATGTGTCAATATATTGCTGTTTCATCCCACTAGTATTCCCGATTATGATTAGTTACTAGTTGTTGATATTAGTCGCCCCTCGCGTCTCGAGCCTGCCTCGCGCGCGCTCCCTTAGCGCTTATCTTCTTTCTCCAACTATCTTTACTATCTTCATCGGCTCTCGTACTTACGCACTTCGTGCCTCGGCCTCAGTTCCTGAAAGGTTATGAGCCCAACGAGCTACCAGCTGCTCGAAGACTAATGACCTCCTCTTCCTCCCGGCCGGCCAGATTGTCCATATGTATTGCATGTGTTGTTTTTGATGTGCAGTTCGCTTTGAGAAACTGAAAAGTACTGGACTTACCTGGAAGCGCGTTATCGATAAGCAATTTGCCGATAGTTGGCCTGATCGATCGCTGGAGGTGACTTGGCACCTCAGCCAAGTCCGGAAATGACGACTCCTATCGGATCACGAGTACCACGGTTGTGAGAAGAGTGCCCGCTAGTCAGGAGTCAGCAGGCAGTCACGCGATCAACGACTGGAATATCAGCACCGAACGAGACCGAACGCAGGTCCGATCGTTTTTCTCATAAAACTGAGAGATCCCCTCTCTTTCTTCCTCTGCTTCATACACTTTCAAGAAGGAAAGAAGACGAAAATGCGCTTGCACTACTTCGCTATCATCTTGTTGCACTGTGCTTGGTTCGGTCATGTCACTCTGGCTACTCCGGTCGCCTTTCAGAAGAACATACCCAAGCACCGGTGCGTTGCGGAACAAACTTAGCCCCTGGTGGGGTATCCTTGCGTTCGCCCTGTGCTGACCGACGCTTCCATTGTGTTCATTCGTTAAGCATTGTGACTAGATCCAACATCAACGATACCGCTAGCACAGCTTACAACTCTGCAAACCAACTCGCAAGCTATGGACTTCCGACCTGCAAGTGCGTACATTGGATAAGAATCAGGTTTTCCGCCGGACGGTCGAAGCTTGCGACGAACTATCGTTTTCAACTCATATGTCCTACGTTTCTGTTTCATCGAAAACACAAACTTTATAAATGCAGATCATGCATCAAAGACTGCAACGGCCCGACATCGCACTCGTGGTTGCAGTGAGTACTTATCCTGCAAGCAGGAGTCTCCCTTGTTGTGGATTTGGACTTGGAGTACCAATGAATGAATGAAGATTCGCTGTAGCTACGCGGCGTTGATAGATGACCTATTGTGAGATAGAGTATCGCCAAGGTCAATCAACTTGTAGCAGGCGAATGGGCGAGATAGATATCGAGTGTGTGTTAAAGAAGAGGGAGAGAGTGAACAAAACCAGAGCCTTAGATAGTATCCGCGTGCAAGCCACCTCTGAGTCCAATCAAGACACCACACCGCCATCCGCCTCCATCCGGCGCCGCGCCACGCGCACGCCAACTTCCCAATGCCACAAGTCCCTCTGGACCGCTGACCCTTTACTAATTTCCCACAACACTCCCACTGGTCAAGGCTCCAAGGGATACCATCCCCAATCCATCACGATGAAGTTCGAACAAGTTGCGAGCGAGCGGCTTGGTGAGAAGATCCGCAGTCATGGCTCCTGTCTTGCAATACTTGATTTGAATGTCGCCAATCGTAACTCGCTCGCGAATGTAGAAGTGATGCACACTGTAGTGCTTCGTCCTACCATGATGAGCCGGGTTCTGTGCGATCGCTATCACTGCCTGATTGTCCTCCCAGAGAAGTGTAGATCCAGGTTGTTGAATCTTGAGATCCGCAGCCAGGTGTCGAAGCCACATGGCCTCCTTTGCTGCCGCAGAAGCAGCCAAGATCTCGGCCTCAGTAGTTGAAGTCGCAACCATCGATTGCTGCTTACTCTGCCAAGAAATTGCTGCACCTGCCATGATCAAGACGAACGCTCCTATCGACTTGCCAGTCAATGGTACCTTGCAAGTAGCGGATGATCCTCTTCACCGCGATCCAGTCGGCCTGGGTAGGAGCTGAAACCTTGGAAGCTGCTGCACGAACCGAAGTGACGATGTCGGGACGAGCACGATGCGCAGCATACTGCTGTAATACTCCGTAGTTACTCAAGGCCTGACGCGCGTCTGGCTTTAAGCCTTGTCGGGAAGTAGACCCTCTCTTCCCTTCTGATCAGTTTATTCTTTGGAATACATACTCGTATCCTGTTACTTGCAAGGCCTCACAACTGGGCATTACATTTTTTTTTAACACCGATACAAGAATTCACCAAGAACACTCCGTCACCGCTTCAAACCGGCTCGATGTACACACGACGCAGGTCGTTCGCCGCACACCCCGCACGACACAGGGGTCCGAGCCGTTTGCTACGTACGCCGTGAAGCTGGCGAGTCAGCGGGCGACGTTGGGCATTGGCAAGGATGGAGGGAAGATCATCAACAATGATCAATTCAAGTGTCATCTCCTACATCATGCAAACGATTTGCTGTATGCGCGTACAACCTCGACCGCTGGCTTCTCGCTTGTAAGGCGCCGCTCCGCTTACGCCTCACGATGACCTCGAGCCAACCTCTGCGGCCTCACTCTTGCCCTCGCGCGCGGCGCCGCCGCGTCTCTTGACCTTAGTCATTTTAGTAGTCTTTCTTCGCCTGCGAATTACACCGTTTGATCCTTTCTGTTTGGACTCGGAATCAGTGAGGCTCGAGAGCGATCTCGTGCCTTTCATCGCTCTCAATGTTCTCGGTGAACGACCTCATTGGACACATGACGGCGGTGGCTTCATCACTGGGCCACGAGTGGTTGAGTCAGGCGTCGGTCGCAAACTCTCGTAACAGTGGCAACAGTTTCATGGCAGATCCCAAGTCGAACATGGCCAGGCGTACCCCCTTGACGGCCGACACACGTCAGGAGTGCATCAACGGGGGCCGTTGTTTCAACTGTCGTGAGATGGGCCACAGTATCCGGGAATGCCCAAAGAAGAAACCAAGCACGACCGTTGGGGACCACCTCAAGGAGCAACTACACTACCTTGGGCATGGGTATCGCCAATCGTCGGACTCGGAACGGGACGCTGCTTTTGAGGCAGAATGGTATGGGGAAGAAGAGGACGACAAAAAGGGAGAGAAGAAGTAGGGGAGGACGAGGGTTTGGTTTAGGTGGTGGAGAGTGTAATACTCCGTAGTTACTCAAGGCCTGACTCGCGTCTGGCTTGAAGCCTTGTCGGGAAGTAGACACTCTCTTCCCTTCTGATCAGTTTATTCTTTGGAATACATACTCGTATCCTGTTACTTGCAAGGCCCCACGACTGGGCCTTACAACTGCAAAGCTCCCACTGCTGACTGGTAGAGTGCAATGTCGTCGAACGGCTCCGTCGAGTGTTCCATGTTCGACCTGGGCTCCATCGGGACCTTCACTGGGTGCTTCGATCCGTGATCTCCGCCATACGTAGCGACGAGGCTCCTGATGTACTTGGACTGGTGCACGAAGATGAACTTGGACGTCCGCAGGAATTCGAGACCAAGAAACACCTTCACAGGACCAAGTCGCTTGAGTTGGTACACCTTGTTGAAAGCTTGGATCTCCGAATCCAGAAACATCTGATCGTTCGAGGCAGCGAGTCCATCATCGACGTAGAGAGTAATGTAGACGAACATCTCCTCGACACACTTGAAGTAGAGACATGAATCGGCGTCAGATCGCGAGTAACCACAAGCGACCATGAGGTTGTTGACTGCCGAGTTCCATTCTCGAGGAGCTTGCTTCGTTCCATACATTGATTTGACAAGACGAAGGACTTGGCCAAGCTGAGGATGATCCCAACCCTTGGGATACTTCATGTAGACCATCTCCGTCATTGTTCCGTTCAGAAACGCTGAGTCGTAATCAAATTGTTCGAGGCACAGTCCTTGGGATGCAGCGATGGCGATGAGAAAGAGAATCGTCGTAGAGCGAGCAACGGGAGCGAAAGTCTCGTTGTAGTCGATGCCAGATCGCTGTGCAAAACCTTGCGCGACCAATCGAGCCTTGTAACAAATGACTTCTCCTTGAGCGTTCTCCTTACGAGCGAAAACCCACTTCGACCCGAGAGCGCAAGCACCGTGGGGAAGATCTGAGTCTGCAAGGACTTGATGACGATCCATCACATTGAGTTCGTCCTGGATAGCTTCCTTCCACTTGTCCGCTTTGGCACTGTTCATCGCTTCTTCGTAGCTGCTGGGTACGGCCGGACGATCCGTGCTGATCATTGCATAGCCAGACATGATGGGTGGTTCGGGATCGAGTTCGGGTATCTCTGTGACGAAGAGACCTTGTTGTTCCGCGATGCGCCTGTGGCCACGAGTACGCTGATGAATCTCGTTGCCTGCGTCGATCTCCTCAAACCTGCCTGGGTTTCGACCCCTAACCGCGGGATCTCCGTATTCCCAATGAGGACGGTTCGGACGAGCAGGGGCTATCTGCTCTCCAGCAACCTCATCCTGAAGTTCGTCTCCGGCATCGTTGCCTTCCAAGACGGGACCCTCATCTTCATCTGGCCCCTCGAGCAAAGTCGTGACCTCCGGTGCACGGACCTCCTCTGGTTGTAGGTTCAAGACCGCGATGTCGCGTGTGATGATCACCTTGTGTTCCGAATCGGAGTCGACGAGCACGCGATAGTTGTACTCATTGCCATACCCGATGAACGTTCCCCTGACTGAAGTCGGCTCGAGCTTAGAGCGTTTCGACTTGGGGACTTGCGCAAAGACAGTCGATCCAAATGGACGAAAGTGCGAGACCTTGGGCTTCTTTCCGTAGAAAACTTCGTAAGCCGTCTTGCCATCCAACTTGGAGTGTAGGACCCGATTCGCGACGAACGTGGCGTACTCCATCGCATAAGACCAGTACTTCCAGGACAGCTTGGAGGCTGCAAGGACCGCACGAACGATCGCCATCAACGAGCCGTTGAAGCGTTCAACCGTTCCATTCTGTTGCGGGGTGTACGGTGCTGAGGTCTCATGGAGAATTCCTTGACTTTGGAAATCTGCGCCGATGAGCTTGTTGGTGAACTCATTGCCATTGTCCATGCGAACGCGCTTGATTTTGCGACCAGTCATCTTCTCGACACCTTGTCGAAATGTGATCCATACGCGAGTGACTTCTTCGGCCGACTTGGTCTTCAACGGAAACATCCACTTCGCAGTCGAGTACTGGTCTACAATAGCCAGGTATGCTTTTCGACCTTGAAAATCGACTTGATCTTCTGCGACGAATCCGATGTCCATGAATACGCGTTGAAGGACATTGGTGACATGGGTAACCGACTCGGAGAACTTCGATGTGCGAGACTTGGAACTGATGCAGGGCTCGCAGTCGTGGACCTTCTCGTCGGTGAGAACTAGTCCATCTACAGCGCCTGACTTAACGAGCTCACGGCAATGTGGCCGTAGCGACGATGCCATTCCATCAAAGGCGCTCCCACTGTTGCACGAGTTGCAACATGAGCTTGGTCCTCGACAATGCGCGTAAAGTCGAGGGTGTAACCGGTACCGTTCAGCATCTTCGCTACGGTAAGCCCTTTGATCTTGATCGTCATGACATCCCTGCCATCTTCCCATCCGCAACTAGCTCCTGATCGGTATAAAGCACGAGTCGAGACGAGGTTCACCGGAGCGCCCGGGAGATGGTAGACGTTCGAAAGTGAGAGCGAGGCCCCGCTTCTCAACTTGAACCGTACCGTACCATACGTGTCGCAATGTGCTACCTGACCGCTCGCGGTTTGAACATTCAGACTTCCATGTTGACGGTCGGTAAGCAGACTTGCGTTGCCGACGTAGTGCTGACTTGCACCGGTGTCCAGGATCCAGATCTCACTCTGGTCGTTCTGTGACACCCTATTCGCGACGTTGATGTGAAGCGAATGGCTCTCCTCGAGAGACTTGACCACCAACGCAAAAGAAGCCGACTCCTCCGAATCCGCAGATCCCTTGGAATGCTGATGTTGCTTCTTCTTCTTGTTGCTGTGGTTCTTGTTACGACCGCGTTTGGCGTTCGGATCGTACTTGGGACATTCCGGATCGATTTGGTAATGACCGGTTCCCTTGCAACCACGACAAATGCAGTTCGGATCACGCTTGACTTGCGTGCCTTCGCGAACCGCTAACGCTCCCGCGTTCTTGAGTAACTTGTCGTACTTGCCAGTGAGCTTGCATTCACTGTACTCGTCGGTAAGTCGATTGACGGCGTAGTCAACCGAGCACTTATCGCTGAGCTTTATAGCTTGCTTGAGCATCTCGTATGAGGGAGGTAGAGCTTGAAGCATAAACGCGACGATGGCTTCATCCTTGAACTTCTGGCCAAGATCTTCGAGTTGATCGACCTTGTCCGTGATGCCCTTGAGAAACTCGCCGAGGTTGGTGTCCTCATCGTACGATGCATTCGAAATCTCGTAGAGTAGCGTGCGAATCTTGAACGGATCGGTGTTCCCTTCGTGGTGTTGTTTCAACTTCTCCCAGATGTCTTTGGCTGAGAGCGACTTGCTCTTGACCATCTTGAGATTCGAATCATCGAGGCACGAGATGATGATCGCGCGCGCACTACGATCCCACTTGGTGATTAGAGTCGGGACCTTGCCCTCCTCTAGACTTGGGTCGATGCCATGGAGAGTCTTCCATGCTTGCACATCCATACTCGATGGTCGGTCGGCTCCGTGTTGAAGTACACTGCTGTAGCCACGACCTTCGAGGAACGCGTCGACTCGGATCGACCACAGCTCGTAGTTATCTTTACCGAGCTTGGTGATCTTGACATCCCCTTCATTCGATACATTGGTGGTAGTCGTCGAACTCATAACCTGTTGTGGATTTGGACTTGGAGTACCAATGAATGAATGAAGATTCGCTGTAGCTACGCGGCATTGATAGATGACCTATTGTGAGATAGAGTATCGCCAAGGTCAATCAACTTGTAGCAGGCGAATGGGCGAGATAGATATCGAGTGTGTGTTAAAGAAGAGGGAGAGAGTGAACGAAACCAGAGCCTTAGATAGTATCCGCGTGCAAGCCACCTCTGAGTCCAATCAAGACACCACACCGCCATCTGCCTCCATCCGGCGCCGCGCCACGCGCACGCCAACTTCCCAATGCCACAAGTCCCTCTGGACCGCTGACCCTTTACTAATTTCCCACAACATCCCTCATGGCTCAAGAGTTTGACCCAGAGCCTTCTTCTTTCGACTGCTTTGTACGTAAAACACCGCGTGAACCAAAGATCGCTCTGGTGTGGGACGAAATGCGTCCTCGGCAAATCCTGCCACTGAAGTGTTCAGGCGGAAGGATCTTCCCGGCCGTTGGGTAGCGGGGTGTGGTGCGATTGATGCAATGGATGGTCCTCAGATCCATTTACCCATTCGTTCGCACGGGGGTTCTTTGTCCCCTTAGAAAAGACGTCCGAGATCGAGGGTCATTTGAGATGTGTCTGTGCCTGTGGTAGTCGTATCTGCGCGGGTGCGGATGCGTTCAGTCATTAGTCATTTCTAAGGCATTGGAGTTCGATCTATTGAAGTTAGGGACCGCGCGGGGCTGTCTTCCCGCGCGGTTATTTACTCTTGGTAGCGGCTTTCTCATCCCTCGCTCTACATTGTGGTCCTGAGTTCTTGGCGTCGTTACCTATCCTATCGAAACTCTATCTGCCACGCTCGCACCCTTTCTGCGACATCGCTGGCTGACTGAATTGGGGAAGGGGAAAGCGACTTGATAAAGGACCGTCATCTGATCACGGATAACCTGACGAATGCTCATGACTTTCCACTAAATCGACACATGCTGGCATATTATTCTACCAAGCGCAGAACCGAACGAACAATTCGGCTCCCTATTCATGTGGGGTGCGCAGGCGCCCAAAATAAGAGAGGCGGATAGTGAACGGAACGGCGGAGAGACAGGGGTTGGAAGGAGAGAGCGCGGAAAGGGGTAGAAACGAGGAAGGAGTCGGAGCGTGGGAACGAGCCGGCGAGATGCAAACGCGGTAGTGGAGAACGATGCCGAACGAGACTTGAAACACCCAGAACGCGAAAGGCAGGTAAGGTGCTGTATTGGATCGCAGAAGCCCTTTTCCTGAAGCACAAGAAGCAAATTCGTTCGAGACATCCTAGATATTCCAACCGTCTCACTACCTTAATTAGCCCCTCTTCCCGGTCGTTCCTCGTCCGGCCCGGTCCTCCTTCCAAGTGCCGGTCTACTTTCCCACCATTGCTCCACGTTCTCCGAGTCGCCGAAGCGCAAAAGTGAAGGGCCCCTTCATAATCACCTCCTCTTCCTCCCGTTCAGCCCAATCGTCCGTGTGCATTGCATGCGTTGTCTTAGATCTGCAGTTGACCCCGAGACACCAAAGTACTAAACTCACACGGATGTGCTTTATCGATAAGGTAGTTGCCGAAACCGGCGTAGTTGACCTGATTTATCGCTGGTGGGTGACCTGGCGCTTCGGCCAAGTCCGGAACTTGCTACTGCTGCGAATTGTTTTGGACTTGACAACGTGAAATGTCGGTTCCGACTGAGTCCCGAGTACCACGGTTGCGAGTGGAGCGTGTGCTAGTCAGGCGTCAGCGCGTCAGCAGCCAATGACGCGATCAATCGGCTGGAATGTCGGGACCGAACGCAGGTCCGGTCGTATTTTCTTACAAGACTGAATGATCCTCTCTCTTTCTTCCTCTGCTTCATACGTTTTCGAGAAGGAGAGAAGACGAAGACGCGCTCCCAATACTTCGCTATCATCTTCTTGCACTGTGCTTGGTTCGGTCAGGTCACCTTGGCTACTCCGGTCGCCGTTCAGACGGAGACCACCCCTGAGCACCGGTGCGTTGCGGAACAAGCCCCTGGTGGGGAATCGTTGCGTTCGCCTGCTGACCGCCGATCCTTCCATTGTTGCCTTTGTCAAACTTTGCCACTGGATCCAGCACCAACGATGCCGCTAGCTCAGCTTACAAGGTTTCACGCCGTTCAAGCGATGGATACCTGTCCTGCGAGTGCGTACTTTATAAGATTCAGTTGCGTCCGCCATCAAGCCTTGCGACTGACTGTCTCATTCAATCCTATGTCCTACGTTTCTGCTGCTTCAAAATACAACAACAACACCACATTTATAACCAAAGTAAATGCACCCAGGAATGCGAAGCCGAACCATCGCACCCGTCGTAAGTCCTTTTCTTCCAAGGTGTCCCCCTCTTGGCTCAAAGTTTGACTCCCGAGCCTTCTCTTCGATTACTTTGTGAATCGAAGATATGGTTCGTGTTTGCTCGGCTGCATCTTCTTCCAATCCTGTTACTGAAGTGATCAGGCGGAAGGTTCTCCCCAGCCGTTGGGATAGCGAGATGTGGTGCGATTGATGCAATGGATGGTTCTCAAGTCATTTTACACCTTCATCCGCACAGGGGTTCTTCAGTCCCCACAGAAAAGACGCTAGAGATTGATCGCTGACTGAACTGGAGAAGGGGGACGTGAATTGATGAAGAATGGTCCTCTGATCACGGATAATTTGACGAAGTAGTGCCGGATATTGTCTCTCTTACCGCGTCGTCGGCGGGGTATCATCGAGGAGGACCGAGGCGCTGTCCCGATCTCGAAACATGCATGCGTGGAAAGAAGAGGGGGTCGTCGATGCTTCTGCAGCGTCGAACGCAATTGCTTTTTGCGGTTTCTTCAGTAGCTCTATTGCAGTTTCGATAACCCGTCACCTCGTATAGGTTTCTTCGTCTTGGTATGGCGCAGCGCGAAGTTTTCCCCTCGTCAACCATTCCAATTGACCCCACCTCGTCCATCCCGGCCTCTTCGCGCGACCGCGTCATCAGGACCTGAAGAGTTGTCGGTTGTATATTCGGGCAAGGGTATCGGCGCGGGTTGTTGAGGGTGGTAAGGGCATCGCGAGACAAAGAGGTCCAAGGAGCGTGCGCGTATGATGGCTTCGACGTTGGTCTCGGTGCGCAGTTGTCGTCGCTGTTCGAATGGGGCAGCGGGAGCGAGTGAGCGTTATTCTCGCCTTTCAGAAAGGGAATGTTCCGTCACCCAAACGACGAGCTAGGGCTTACCTTGACCTCTACTTCGGTCTCGCCTCTACCTCGGTTCGTGAACCGATCCCGATCCAACCCTCTCTCTATCCTGGTCGAATCCGCGGTCGGCAGTGAGGAAGTGCGCGTCTGGGCCAAATGAACCTGATCGCAAAAGGCCAAAACGCGCGTTCGCTCGTTCCACCGCGTTGTGAGCTCGTTCCAAAACGAATCGCAGCTGTCGCCGTCTGGGTTAGAGAACGATCGGTGCAGGGCGCTGGCGCGATTGAGACGGAGTGCGATCGAGTCGTCGAGCGCTCGCGAGGAACGGAGTAGCGCTTTAAAGGCGGAGAGGTTCGAGCAGAGCGAGGGCGTGATTTGGGTGAGGTGCGTCTGCGAAGAGGTGGGCGTCGATTGTGCGAGGATATAGGGTGTGCCGAGCAGGGGTGAAGACGGCGACGATGACGACATGCCCGCTCTACCGCGGATGATTGCAGCGAAAGGGTGAGAAACGGGACGAGACGGGAGGGCGTTGTCGTGGTACAGGTTAGAGAGGTATTAGAGACGGATAGGCTGCTGGGAGATCGAGATGCGGGAAGGGTGCAGTTGAGAATGTGGGGGAAAAGGACACCGTAGGAAACTGGGACTTCGACGCGCACGCCAGCCTCTCGGCCGAACGAGTGCCGAACGCGCTTCTCTTGCCAGTCTTCTCTCCCACCCATCCGTCCTGTAGACATGGCGACCATACGCACATAGTCAATTCACGCCCGTCTCTCCGTCCCAGTTACAAGTTGCTTGTGGTGGCTTGACGCGGCGCAGCGCACCACCGGCGCGTTCCCTTCGGCCTCGTCGACAGACACGATATTCTCATTCTGCGGCACTCTTACCGGCCACACGCGAACGGCCACCATGCCCGCACCACGCTACGGTGCTTCCCCACTGACCCGTAATCGCCTCAGCGCTTCTTCATCACGTCGTCACCGCTCGTCGACCTCGCACCGACTGCGTTCGATCGTACTCCTCCCTTCGAGAACGATCCTCCTCCTCGTCGTCTTTTACGCCGAGTACGCCACCTTTTACCTCCACACTTCGGCCTGTCGATTCGACGATGCACCTTCGAGCAAGGGCAAGGTCTGGAAACCGCTTGCGCCGCCGTTGAAGAGGGCCGACAGCGCGACCGAACCCGCTGCGAGGTCACCGAGCTTTGGCGATTGGGACGATGATCCGAGATGGAAGGGGCACAGACCTTGGCATGTCTTGCTCGTTTCGGTAAGCACTCACAAGGTTGATAGTGAGGGAACCGGCCGACGGCAGCTCATATAAGGGAATTGTCGCTTGCCCACTCGCTCGCTTGCCCTCACAGGATCCTCAAATTTTGGATATGAGATCCTACCCCGGTCGCTCGTGGATAGGACGCTACCTCGGCATCAAATTCACGGATGCGTACATCAGAAAAGCGTGGAGATTCGTCAGCAAAGCTTCGGGCTCGCATGGCAAGATCGATTCCGTCGTTTGGCTCGGCGACTTGCTCGATTCAGGAGTCGAGAACGTCGATCTCGTCGAGTGAGTTGGGCAGGATGAGTGGGTTCATGGGTCTAGTTTATCCGAGTTGACCTTGCGATCACTTATTATTCAGACACGCCAAGTACTCGTCCCGATTCTTTCGATTATTCCCTCCACCGCCGTCCACTCTTTCAAAATCGCCTTCCACCATCTACATACCTGGAAATCACGATCTGGGACTTCACACCCCTTCGACGTACGGAAGGAAGCGGTTTCGCGATAACTTTGGGCCGACGAACGGGATCGTCGAAGTTGGGGGTTGGGAACTCGTTTGGATCGATGCGATGGCGGTGTTGGAACCCGGCGTTGAAGGGAGGGAAGCGAGGAATTGGATCGCGAAATTGGGCGAGAGTGAGTGGAACCCATTCTTCTTGAGGAGTTGGTGAGCAAACGAAGCTAATGGGATCAATCGCCTTGGCAGACAAATCGAACCTCCCTCGGGTCCTCTTCACCCACATCCCATTATATCGACCCGAGGGGACGTTTTGCGGCGCCTCACGCGAGTCGCAGAACGCTCTACGCCAAGGTTCGGGGCTCAATTACCAAAATGAGTTGGACGAAGAAACCACGCAGTGGCTTGTTAGATCCTTGAAACCGAATCTGGTCTATAGCGGCGACGATCATGACTCGTGCATCGTCAGACATCCTTTTTTGATCGACGGCGAAACACCGCTGATTGAGACAACTGTTAAAGCATTCGTGAGTCGGGATCAATCGTTCTTTTGCTAGGAGTCGACATTATATCTCGTCGTACTGATGGCCTCTCATCCTTGCTTTAGTCTATGGCGATGGGGATCCGTAAACCGGGATACCACCTCTTATCCCTCTACGCGCCCAAGGACAGCTCCAACCCTTCGACCTCGGCGACCTTCACACAAACGAACTGCGTCCTCCCCGACCAAATTTACCTCTGGACCCGCATCTACATCCCCTTGTACCTCCTACTGATCTTGCTTTTCCTCGCACCGAAACTGTGGAGAATGATCACGGGTTCATTAAAGCGATCTAGTGCTAGCGCTAGGTCGAATGGATTACCGATCCACCGGAATCGATCATCACTTTCGAGACAATGGTTGGGAAGAGGATCCAAAGTCGACGCTGGCTACGACGAGGCCGGTGATGATGACGACTCGCAGTTCCCATCCTTTTCGTTCCTTGCGACGCCAAGTGACGATTATGCGTATCATTCAGGCGTAGGCGCAGAGGAGTTGCCGACGAGTAGTTCGCCGAATCGAAGTCAGGGTCATTCGCGAAGATCGAGCATGTTGGATGATGAAGATGAGGAGGAGGAAGAGCTCGAGTTGGGGAACAAGGTCCGGAGGTTGTCGAGGGTCTACATGTGGGAAAGTAAGGGAACTTTTGTTGGCGGTGGCGGCGGTGCAGGAGGTGGGAGTGCAGGCGAGACGAGTCTACCCTCGCCGTTGTCCAGCTCGATGGGGAGGAGGCAGTTGACGAGTCGGCCGAGCAGGACGGCACAGGCGTTGGTGAAGATCGACGAGGCGTTGAACCGAGGGTTGGGGCCGATTTATCGGTACACTCTAAAGCCGATATTGAGGATTCTGAGGACGGTGTCCACGAGGGTATGTATGACTCCGTTCCTCGTCGTAAGCAAGCTCGAAGAGATACTGGGGCGAACCAAATTGGGCGCGATCGTGGTGCAGACCATGAGGCAGGTGCACGCCGTCGTCTGGCCCGGGATCGTCCTGTGGACGCTCATTTGGGCTTGGTACGCGATTTAGTGGAGTACCTAGCCACGATACGACGAAGTAGTATATGCACATCAAGCAATGTAATAAGATGCAATGCAAGACTCCTCGAGCAGAAGACTATTCGGCTACGACTGCCGAGTGTAGTTTAAGCTTTTGTAGGGCGGGGGCTCGGCCGAGGACTGACGGCGTTCTCGCACACTGTCGGCACAGAGATTTCTGTTCTAGGATTTCTGACACGCTGATCTGCGCTAAAGCGAATGATGGAGGATGTGCGATCTATACACGCGCCTCCGACAAAGATAATCTTGGCCAATTCTGCACCGCCGCCCGCAGAAGGTCTACTTGGTCAACGAAGCCGAGTGCTCCAAGTCGTGTTGACTCCCCTTCTTCCATCGGAACATGGAATCTTCCCTCTCGCGGCGCTTGACCTGATCTTCACTTTCTCCGCTTGCGGTGCTCGGGATCGCCGATAAGCCGGCACTGGCGATGAGGACGGCGACTGCGAGGGAGGCGGAAACGATGAGGTTGAGGTAATTCATCCACAGGTTGTTACTTCCAAAAGGAGCTTACCAGTCAATCCTTGAGCGACCATTCGAGCTTGGACAAGCCTATCGTTTCATCGTAGAACGCTGGTCAGATTCGTTGGCAACATTTTCGGGCTGCATGGCGAGCTCACTTTTGCGCAAAGCTGAGGGGGGTCATGCTGATGTATCCAAAGGATCCCACCATCGAAGCCGCCCATCTGTCAAGATCAAGACCCAGTTAGCAGGAAATGATTTCAAGAGTCGCAATGGAGTCAATATCGGCATCTAAATGCGACGACGGAATAGGTCCCACGGCCGACTCACGCTCCAAAGACGACACCGTAACGATGGGTCTTGCCGAAGTCAATCAAAGCATCGCGCGTGCTGAGTGTTGGTCGACTGTCTTGCATCTCGCCCGCGATACCCGCCTCTCGTTCCAATTGCATTCCTTGCCTCGCTTCCCTCGCGAGATCGCTGTCGGATCCGATCGAGTACTTTGCGAGCTCATACTCTCGTGACGCGCTATCGGCTCCGATGATGAACGCTGCTGTCGTGACGGAACTGTTCAACACCGAAAGCGGATTCATTCAGCGAAGAGGTCTTGATGGTCCAATGATGACGGAGCAGATCGGGTGCCACCTCACGTGAGAGCAAACGCCTTGAGCGGCAGGGTGAGGCTCCTGTACGCCTTGACGCCACTGCGTTGTAGTGCGATGGAGCCCACAGCGCCGAGACCAAGTCCGATCGCACCCGCTCGCAAGCCTCCATAGACCGTGGCACTGTTGGAAGGGTCCAGCATAGCTTTGAATCAGCATTCGGCCATGACAGCATCGACGGCTGACGTCGGCTGCGAAAGTGGTGCGGATCGTCCGCGCGTGATCAAGGCAGACACAAAAAGGGGGCGGGGCACGCAGAATGGACTTGCGACTGATGACTGGCAGAAAAGGACGGGTCGTGGCCGTATCAGCGATCTGCCCCCTAGAGTTTACTAGCATGGCGAGAGGGCGGAACTTACTTTCGCTCGTCCTGGACGTCCTTGATAGCCTGCCGAGATCGACCATCGGATTAGCAGCGACCTCCACGACCGCTAGTGCGGTACTATAGGCGACTGACCTTGACCATGGTGAGGTAGATTAATAGAGTAGGGCTGAGGATCGGGATCGGGATCGGGATCGGGATCGGGATCGGGATCGGGATCGGAATCGGGATCGGGGGGAAATGCGGTCGAAAACAGGTCAAAGTGTCTTGACGTGGAGGAAGAACGAACTCTCGGTGTTTCGCTGGTCCATCCTTCGGTGGCTGAAATCGATGGCCGAGCCCTGCCGAGCCGAAGCCACCGCCGAGGGAAGCGTCGGCCTTTCTGTGTTCCGACCGCTTCCGACGGGCGAACTCGGGCCATCCTCGTTGAAGTTATCGTCGGGCGAGGATTTATTAGTAAGCAGCGCAGAGCAGCGCAGAGCAGCGCAGAGCAGCGCTCGCCAGCCGTCTTGCCCTTCGCAGGCCCAGGCTCACACTGACCGGTCGCCAACCTCCGTCCGGGACCCAGTAAGGTCATTCAACGTCAGGGACATGTCGAGCGATTCTTCATCCGATACCCAGCCGGATATGAGCGACCCGACAACACAGCCACCCTCGAGATCGATGCCCGTGGCTACGACGTCACGAGTCACGTTGGAACATGCTGCTTCGAACGAGGATGCCCCGACGAACAAGCCGACCACGGCGACCACGGCGACCACGGCTACCGTGCCGGAGAACCTTCCTTCGACGACGACCAAGACCCCGACCTCGTTTGCACAGTTGGGCGTAGAACGATTCTTGTGCAACGCCCTGCAAGCCATGTCGATTCGCCAGCCGACCGAGGTACAGGCGGCGTGCATCCCCCCCATTTTGGCTGGTCCGTCGCAGCCACAACCCAGTTCGTATCTTGAGCTATCCTGTCGAATGCTCATAGTGGTACACCTGGCCTTTTTACAGGTAGCGACTGCATCGGAAGTGCGCAAACAGGCTCGGGCAAAACGATCGCATTCACCCTACCCATCATGCAGGACCTCGCCAAAGATCCGCACGGCTTCTTTGCTCTCGTTCTCACCCCGACACGGTCAGTACCTGACTTGATTGCCATTGCAGCGTAGGCAAGATCCCAGCTCACTTTGCTTCTTTTACCTACTCAGTGAGCTCGCCTTTCAAATTTCGGAGCAATTCAGGGTCATCGGCGCGGCCGTGAACCTTCATTCGGCCGTCATCGTCGGAGGCATGGACATGATGGCCCAAGCGATCGAACTCCGTAAACGACCCCACGTCATCATCGCCACACCGGGCCGTCTGGTTGACTTGATCAGGAGCAACAAGGACGAATGGAGTCTAGGCAAGATCAAATATCTCGTAAGTCCGATGCTAGAATGTCGAGCAGAGATTGACGAGCAGATGAAACTGAAGATTCTGAACCCGGCCCCGACCGCATCTCGTCCATTGAATTCACACAGGTCCTCGATGAAGCCGATCGGCTGTTGACGCCGACATTCGCACCCGATTTGGCTTTCCTCGTCGATCAGTTGCCCTCTCAACGACAAAGCCTGCTCTTCACCGCCACCTTGACGGAGCCCGTGATGGCCCTCCAAAAGCGCCAGACGGTCCCCGGTAAAGCCCCGCCGTTCATCCACGTTTCTCGGAATGCGTGAGCACTCGAATCTCTCGATATTCTTTCACGCGAGAAAGGTCGAGCTGACAGCTCTTTCTGGAATGTTCAGAATCACGACTCCGGCTGGGTTGGTGCAACGATATCTTTTCATTCCTTCCCAAGTACGCGAGGTGTACCTCGTCTACCTACTGTTGAATCTCTGCGACCTCACCGGTGCTCAACCCGTGCAAGCCAGTATGGATGCTTCGACTTTGAATCACAAAAATCGTGGAGGGGAACGACCTTCGAAAAGAACGAAACGTGCCAGCTCGCCTTCGGCCGAAGAAGCTTTGACTCCTCGATTACCCCAAACGATCCTCTTCGTGCCGCATTGCCGTACCGCCGCGCTCTTCACCTCACTGCTCGGTCATTTACCGAACCCGATTCCTTGTACGGCCCTACACTCCCATCTCTCCCAACCGGAGCGATTGCAGTCGCTGTCGTCTTTCCGAAGGCAACAGGTACCGCTGCTCATCGCGACTGACGTCGGGAGTCGAGGATTGGACATCCCCGAAGTCGAAGTCGTGCTGAATTGGGAAGTACCAAGGGTCCCGGATGATTATGTTCATCGCGTAGGTAGGACCGCGCGTGCGGGCCGCAAAGGTACGAGTATTACCGTCGTCACGGAGGGAGACGTCGAGTTGGTGCAGGCGCTTGAGGAACGTATCAGTACGTCTTGAGCGGTTGGGTTCGCCTTTGAGAAAGTGCGTTTGCGCGGGTCATTGACCACCCCCACGTCTTTTGGGTACGCAGATACCAAATTGCACGAACTTGAGCTACCAGAAGAAGCTGTGTTGGAGTTGTTGAGCGCGGTTTCGATGGCCAAGAGGATGGGTAATATGGAACTCGCGGATGGGTTCGGCAAGAGGCAAGAGACGAACAGAAAGAAGAACGCAATACTGCAGAGCAACGGAGCTGGCGCCAAAGCAAACGCGGGAAACAAGTCCTTAGTCGGCAAGCATAAACGCGGCAAGACGGTCAAAGCTGCGGTGGTGTAGGAACGAGTCGCCGCTGTGTTGCCAACCAAGAGTGCTGGAATGTAGATTTTTTGGGGGCGCTTCTTTGCTTTGATCATGACGATCGTGCAAACTACGGCATACCCGGACAGCCTCGAGCTGACTTGGCGGTGAAAGCCTTTCGACAAGAGTGAACGACCGCATATCTTTGTTTAGGCCTGCTAGGCTATAATTACAAACGCCGATGAACGGCGCGAAACTTTGCTTCCCAATTCTTGTTACAAGAGACCCAGCATTCTGGCTCGTTCCGGATTCAATCCACTGTGAACAAAGGATGAAAGTCGAAACGGTTAGTGGGACAGCCAACTATCGGCGGGAATGGGATGATCTCGCACGCACTTGACAAGAGGGGCGCCTCCACCATTGGGTGTCGGTAAAGGAGGTGCGTCGAATGTTGTTGGGGCAGCGGACGCCGAGGCACCCGAGGTCGGCGGGAAGAAGTTCGGCGGTGGTTGCATCCCCGGCGGCGGTTGGAACCCTGAGTGTAGGCCGGCTCGACCGAGCAGTCAGCACATGACCGAGCAGTCCGATGCATTGGTAATAAGTACATACCCGGTGGTGGCCCCGAGAATTGAGGAGGGGGTGGGCCGCCTTGGTATCCCCCTTGATAGCCTACACGAAGGCTGTCAGCACCTTGACGAGCTTGACTCGGGGCAAAGGATGGTATTTGCACACTCACCTTGTGGCGGTCCTTGATTCTGGTATCCACCAGGTCCGCGCATCGGAGGCGGGGGGGCACCATAGCCTGGAGGTGGGCCGTTGCCGAATCGTAAAGGTGGTCCACCGGGTTGGAAACCGGGTGGGGGCCCTCCGAAATTTCTCACTAGAGTCCGGCAATGAAGTCGGCGTGAGGGACCGTTCGCGGGAAGGGCAGCAGAGATAGACGACGAAGCGTCGAGCTGTGGTGCTTACTCTGTGGAGGCCCATTCATGTTGCCCATCATACCCGGTGCCATGGGTAGCACTCGAGCAACACCGCCGGGGCCGCCTTCGTACTTGCGAGCAATCTGATCGATCATGTCCTGAGCCTTGTCCGACCCGAGAGCTGTGAGCACGGATACCCCACATCGTAGATTAGCAACCGAGAGCATCGAGTCAGCAACGAGTGCCCAATACTTGCACGCATAGTAGTCTCGAACGTTGGTAAGGTGGTTACGACCCGAGTTGTGGGCCTTGCGCACTGGGATTCGTTCAGGGGTGAGTCAGTCGCGGTGATTACACGCCGTCAAGTTGCGCTGTGATGCTGCATTTACCAGAAGAACTGTCGTGAGTGAGAAAGACGTCGCAGTAGTCGCAGTAGTCTGCGTGCAAAGGCAACACGGAAGGGGTGGTGAGCACTCGAACCATCGTGGGCCCCGCCTCCCGCAGTGAGCCTGGGCGGTGGGGCCTTTGCGGATCGTGAGCGTAAGATGGATGTGGTGGAGGCTGTAGTGAAGGAGGACGGTGCTGTACTGGAGGCGGCGAGCTCACGTACACTGCCGCGGACGAAGGAGCGATGCGCTCCAGTGAATCAGTCACGGCACGAGAAGCGACACGTAACGGACAGGTTGTGAGCCAAGACGATCAGTGAACTCACTTTTCCCATGTTAGTTCCGGACGCCTGCGAGGCTTGGTACAACAATGCGAGCACAGTGGAGTGAAACCCACGAAAGGGGGTTCTGGTGGAGCGCGGAGAAGCCAAGCATGGTTTGGGATGCTATTATATTTCTTTGTTAGCGCACCCCATTAGGACCAAGCCCCAGAGTTATTAGTCCCGGCTTGGAGCTGGCCGGAGAACTGGCTGGAGCGGCGGCGGCTGGCGGCGGCGACGGCTTGGGCTCAGCAGCTGAGCATCTCAAGTTTCAACCCCGAGTCCAGCCAACCTCGTACGCTCCAATACCCAGGCTCCCGACTGTGTGGCTAGTGGACTTGACCTGACGAAACACGCTTTCTTCGCCTTCCCGTCTGTTTACACTAAGTGACCCTTCGCGCTCTTTTCAATCCGCTTCGAGAAGGCGAGCAGCTCGGCCCACGGTCCTCTCTGTTCTGACGTCCCAACTTGTTACACGATGGCCGACACGATCGTCGAACCGTTCGACCTGATCCGCGTCTCCTTGTCCGAGCGAGTCTTTGTCAAGCTGAGGGGCGATCGCGAGCTGAGGGGCGTCTTGCATGTCAGTCACGTCGACGTTCGAGGCAGCGGCAGCGGCATCAGCTTCGCCAACGAGGCAGCGGAGGAACGAGGGATCATAAGACCAATGATGTTCATGACCTTGGCTCACACTCTTACAGGCTTACGACGGTCATATGAACATGGTCCTTTCGGATGTCGAGGAAACCATCTACGTCGTTGACCACGACCCACAGTCGGATCAAAGTCTCGTCAGAGTGAGTCACTCTCTCCTTCAACACCGCATCGGATTTACACACACACCGGCCCTGACGTCCAAACTCTTGACGCGGGTGTACTGCAGACCGTCAAACGCAATTGTGACATGCTGTTCGTGCGAGGGGATGGCGTCGTCTTGGTGCGCTCCCTCTTTTGTCTTTCTTCGCTTTGGTGACCGGGCTGGGCCTGATATTGACACTGACCGCGTTCCACGACCCTTGCCCGCAACAGGTCGCACCACCTGCACGGTAGGACACGGTAGAATTCATGACGTTTCGGGGATATTGAAATGGGCCGTTGTAAAAACATGTACGAACGAGGCACTCAAGAGAGAATACGTTAGCTCTTGCCATACGCTGGCTCTTGGCCGATGCCGGTGCATGGTGGGAGGGATTCGCTCACTCGGACAAAGAGGTATTGCTTTCATATCACATCGCTACCGCTCGCTACCTCCTTTTCGGTGCGCCATCTGGCACCTTTCAGCCGATCCATTTTCATCTTTGGCCTCAAGTCTCCCGGTGGTGCTCCGTCTTGTCCTGCATCCCCGTGTACGCCTGGCCATTCTGACGGGCCTCCCGCTCCACTGCAAACTTCGGGTAACGGGGTCTCCACCCTTGTCCCCGTTTCTGTGTCTGTGTGCTTGATGTGATCCTGACGTGCCCTGACTTGGGACGATCCATTTGGTGGCGGGTTCGCCGATATGGGGGGCACGTAGTCGACAGGGATGGTCCCGTCCATTTCCCTGAGAAGTAAGAAAAATGTGGCACGAAACTAAAGGTGAGCAAAGCTATGGAATGATTCAAACATCGATTCTGACGGGTACCACGTACCAAGACCGATACAATAATGCCGTCTGCTCGTACAACGCGAGCGCGAGAGAGAATGAACAGAAATGACCAGGGTTCAAACTCGGGAATCATTCGACCCCGACGCCCGACGGAATAAAATGCAAGACGACTCACAACCAAAGATAGAGGAAGCGGTTCTCTCAGTACTCTACCCTGCTTGAACGCCAACAGGATGCCCTGACAGAATGGGATCATGATGATCACCATTGCGAAGCTTCAACCTCTGCCATATTGAAACCGCGTCGGACCCGCACAGGCCCCATCATGATAGGAGACCTACCTCATTCGCCTTCTTGAGCTCGTTGCGTCGTCCTGTGACCACTCCGATCACATCTCCTCCGTCGGGGGTCTCCCCGACCTCGACCGAACGATTCGGACTTTCAGTTTCCTCGGCGACGGCAGCTGTAGCAGCGGGCGCGTGAGACGTGCTGGATCCCGTCGGTAGAGTCGGACCATCTGAACCGCCGTCTTCAATCCCTGTTCCTTGAAATCGTAGCATTCGTTCCAGTTGGCGCAGTCTTTCCCGAAACACAGGGTCAAGCGGACGTCCTCTGCGGCCGCCGGTTCGGGCCAAGCTGTCGCTGCTGCCTCTGATCGATCCCACTGACGAACAGGATGAGAACGAGGACGGGAATGGAGCGGGCGGGGCAAGCCATTCGGACCGTATATGTGCTTCCCATCGGCTCGTGGCGTCTTCGGTCGTCGTCGGTGCAGCCGACGTCGGCGTAGATGTGTGGGGAGGAACAGCTTCGTTTGCGGAGTGTGGCGCCCCTGCTGGATTGCCGCGTGGTAGAGCAGCAGCAAGCGGTGGCATCACTGCATCGCTCAGCGCACTTCGGGGGGGCTGGCGGGAACACGGGCCAAAGAAGGTTTATTGGTGAAGCGGCGAAAGGCGAGGTTCTTGGTGGTCGGCAGGGTGCGGTCGAAGACCCCTCCGCCTTTCGAGAGCTTTTGGTCTGATCCGGAGCACAACGCCGGGGCTGAGAGGGGCGGAGAGATCTGAGAGCGTTCGAGGATGAGTGAATACAGATTAGCAAGATTCTACGTGTTCAATAATTTCCTTTGAGAACCTCTTCTTGCCGACTGCCACGTTTTTCGCAATTCGACGAGCTCACCCAAGCGCGGATGTGGCCCCCCCGGAGAATCCATCACCACGTGCTCCCGGCACCGAAGACACGCTCGATATGGTATTACAAAAGTCAAAGAGTAGTGAAGCTCTGGGCTGCTAGAATTACGTGGCTGGAAAAAAACGTCGACGTGCGGATACGAGCTCGAACCCTAAATAAAGACATGAAAGGCCATGATGTGTGCGAGAATAACAAGACAAAATCTGCGAAGCACCCCGAATCGCGGATCACCTGTGGTTCGTCTTGCCCGCCTTTCTCTTGCCCGAAAACAAATGCTGTAAGTGCCAAGGACAAAGGGGGTTCGGTCAGTTTTGTGATTACGGCAGCCAATGCGACAGGAAGGGGTGGTTCGCCTGACTTTGGGCATCTTTGTACGAATGTGACGATCTGATTCGGAGGCTTTGGCCAAACGATTCGGTTCGCGCTGGTACAGCTGGCGCAGGCGCACGGCCTTGGCCGCCTGTTCCGCATCGCGCAGACCTGCGACTTGTCGATCTTTGGTGGGCAGCCTCTTGCCACTGGGGACGATGGACTTGGTGCCCGTCTTGGATCGTTTCCGCGGGCCGTCCTGGTCCATGCTCTCGTCCGCTTCGACCCAGTCCGCCTCGCCATCATCTGCCCCCTCGTCGAACTCGTCAATGTCCATCTCACCGGCCTCTCGCTTGCGACCGATGAGGCCGCGGGCCTTGGCCAACATCTTGGCACGTTCTTCCAAGTTGGTCGCATCGTAACCCGCTTCGGACAGCTTGGACGTCATCTCGGAAAGCGTTCGTCGTTGTACGGTTCGAGGGATGATGGGCCGGTTCTGGAGCTTGTCTTTTTGCTGGTTGAGGAGACGGATATTCGCTTTCTTGTCGCGAATTGTCGACGCCGCGGTGCGGATAGCCTCTTCGTCCGAATCCTGCGCATGAAGAAGATCAGCCCACGGGTCAGTTCCATGGCCAATTATTGCCCTTCGTTGCACCACCCCACCCACCTCGTCTGTATCCTCGTCGTAAAATCCAGCAGCTTCCAAGCGCTCCTCCTCGGCTTCAAGCTCCTCCAGTCGAGCCACGATATCGGCATCGATAAAGTCTGCGACGTTCTTGCCGTCTTGCAATTCGGGCATGACATCGTATTTCCAATCGTCTTTGGCCAAAAGGTAGTGCTCTGTACAAATGTGGTCATGGTTGCGCACGTCAGTTTGAATCACCTAGCGGTAAAATCGGCGGCTGGGGACGCGCGTGATGACTGACTCTTCAAGTTCATCATGTATGCGCCAGCGCCTCCGTTCTCCGCCTCCTCGTCACGCTCAAGTCGTCGACGCTCCGGGTCGTTCTTGTCGTAAGTCTTGCGCGTCTTAACGGCATCCGGAATGAAGGGCGTTCGGTCCACAGTGTCGCGCTTGACGGGAACAGCGACGCGAACACGGTTCGCCACGTTGTCGACTCGCTTCGTCTTTTCCTTGCTTTCCACTCGGTGTTGGAGGAGCGCATCACACGCAGCGTTCCTCACGCCCATCACACCCTCTTCGGAGACGCAGGAGAGCTCGAGCAACTGGACGTTGCCTTCCGCAAGGATGGCGTCTAGCATGGCTCGTCGGGTCGGGTCCAGGTCCGAGGGGCGAGTGACGTCAATCTTGTTGACGACGATGAAGGTGGGCTTGTTGGTGAACAAGGGCTTGATCGATTGATATAGTTGACACTGGAGGAGACCCCCAAAGGTGGAATATCAGTACAAGAAACTGTAATCTGCGGCGAGAGCTTCAGGCCGGAAGGGCGCGACGACCTACTTGGGCTTCGACGGTGTAGCCACACTGTTCACTGAGATCCATAAAGTACATGACACAACTGCGTAGATGCGCGAGCGCGGTGATGCTCTGCATTTCAATCGTGTTCATCTCCTCCAGCGGATGGTCCAGCACCCCGGGGGTGTCAATCACCTGCCAGCGCAGGTACTTGTAGTCCATATGGCCGACAAACAAGCTCTTGGTTGTGAAGGCGTAAGGCTGCACATCGACGTCGGCCCGCGTGATCTTGTTGACGAAAGACGACTTTCCGACGTTGGGGTATCCGCACACCAGCAACGTGCGGGTTGTCGGATCGATGCTCGGTAGACGAGACATGTGCTGGCGAACTTGCTCGAGATAGGCGAGAGGGTCCTTTTGTCTTCGCATAATGGTGGCCATTCTGCACAGTGCAAGCAGACGGGTCAGCTTCGGCGTCAGCTTCGGCTTCCCGGGTGGAACTGCGACTGAAGTTGCGTACTTACCGACCCAAGGCGGCCTTTTTGAGCTGCTTGCATCGGAACAGACTGTCACCGAACTTGAGGAGGCGGCAGTAGTCCTTGCCGACCGAAACGATGAGGTGGCGCGCGGTATTGAGCTGACCCAGCGCGAGTTTGTAATGATTTTTGTCGTACAGAACATTGAGGAGCGAGGACAAGAAGGGGTGGAGGTTCTATAGATGATGCGGCGCCAGAACGAATTGGTCAGGATGGTTGGTTGACGAACGCTCACTCGCAATCAGTCCAATTATTCACCTCCATGATCGGGAACTCGCTCAAAATCTGGTCCAAGCGCTCTTCAAACGACTGCTGCGTGAACTTGACCTGCGCGAGAGAATTGACAAGATATAGTCCACCGTTAACCACCCTCGGCGCCAGTTCGTCGCCCGAAAGTGGGGAGGCCGCTCACCTTGCGCATGTAGAAGGAGCGAATACGCGTGATCTTGAAACCACTTCGGATGACGGTGGGCGTCTTGCGTTGCGTCTATCGGAATCAAGCATTTTTCGGGGAGAGGAACACAACCGTAAGCTGCTATTGTCCCTCGAAACGAGACTGGGCTCGGCGATCAGTACCAGTGACGGCCGCGCGGGGGCCAATTCCCCCGTCCTTCGCAGCCGAGTGGGTCGAAGAGGTTCGCGCGTCCCAGGCTCGCCGACGGCCACCATGCCTTGGGAAATGACGTACCTTGGAAAGGATAACATCGAGGAACTCTTGTGCCGTCGGCACGGGCGCGATCGCCTTGTTGATGGTCGTCATATTGGTGCGTCGTCGAGCCTGTGCGAGCGTGTGGGAGTGCAGCGAGATTGCGAGGCAGGGCTCCGATCGTCAGTCAGCTGCCACTTTGTCCGAGGAAACCCGCGCGTTGTAATGCCGTAAGGTCTTTGGAACAACTACAGTGCGAGTCCTGTAAAGTGCAAGAATTGAGACTGACGTTCTGGTACGATCGACGGTGATGGCGACTTGGGAAAGGCCTCGACGCGGGTGAGCGGGGGGAGCGGATCCAGCTTCGCAGCAGCTCGCGCGAGAGCACGCTCGATCACAAGGATTGACCCGAGCCGCACGAGTCCGAGTCGCCTTGCCGCCTCCGAGTCAGGCCTACAGCTAGGTGCTTCTCGGGCGAGGTCGAGGCAGAATCTGGACAGCAACACAGGAAAAAAAACAAGCATGACCTGCCATTTTGGGGCCGCACACCTCGCTACTACATAATCTGCATTATTTGGAATGCTTGATCGAGCTGCAGTGGTTTGCCGCGGAAAAAAAGGGGAACGTCACGTTACGCGAACCCAATGCCGAATGTTGCGGCCGTGTTGCAATCGGAACCTCAAACAACGAGACAGCCGAACACTATAAAAAACAAAGGGTCCCACGTGGGATGGTAAATACTGAAGCACCACATAATATTGCGAAGCGTGCGCCAGAGCGCCCGCCCCTGTCGTTCTCGCACGCCTCTGCTCCTCCAACTCTACTCGAGTACTCGAGTACCACAAAAAGCTGCCGAAACCCGGGATCGAACCAGGGACCCTACGCTATATAAACCTGAATACTTCAGGTGTATGCTCTCCTAAACTGAATTGAGGAATTCCGTATGATACGATGCAGGCGGAAAATTCCGCAGGGGGGCGGATCATCGTCGATCCTCTGCTCAGCCGCCACTGCAAACTTTCGGAGGTTCAATCCATTCTTCTTTCTCTCCTGGTCTACATTACTCGCACGCGTAGACGCGAGTGGTGGTGGACACATTGGTAATGGCCGTCGATCCTAGACCTCGACTACATGGCACCTCAAATCGAGGTCGTCGACGGCCTCCCTCGACTGCGCATCCACGTTTCGATGTGGTAAAAAAGCCCATGCGCTGGCGCTCGACACGCTTAGAAATCGACACTGGAATCTCCATTGCCACGCCAGAGCGATGCCGAGCATGGACAAGGAGATGGCCGGACTGAAGGAGAGGTTGGAGCTCAGATTGGCACGATGAAGTAGACGGCGCTCCCCTCCCTCCCCAAGCAAACCAAAAAACACAAGTCCCCTTCTTCTCTTTCGGCATCTCTCTGATGTCGTCTAAAAACGCCATATTGAACTAAACTTGTTCTCTCTCGCTCTAATTGCCGTTCCTCCTCACACGCTTCCTCAAGTTGGACCGGCCGAGGAGGTCTGTGCGGTGCACGCGAGCCCAAGAATGCCTAAATATAGTTTATGGGCCTGGTCCCCCGCACCCGAGCTGAGGTCTTTCCCTCATGTTTGGCTCAGCATCGGATCAGTCCATTGTTCAACTCCGAACTCATCAGGGGCCTCGGGTTTGCGCCCGCGGGCTTCGTTGCCCTGGGTTCGAGCTTCGGCCACATGGCGACGACACAGCGAAAGCGGGTGCCCTCGGCCCTCTCCTGGACTCCGCCGCGAGTTTTCCACTCCTCTCAAGGACCCCAAAAGAAACTTAGATTTTTCGTAGGACAAACAGGGAAAACAGGAATTGGAGGCCATATGATGAACAGTCTACATGACAAACCCTCTGCAGCCCAGATAAACTTGAGCAAAAAAATATTTTGGCATGCAGGCACAGTTGCCTGCTCATCACCCATCTGCGGCTCGTCGCTGCTTTCTGCCCTCCTTCCACTGTTTTTGTAGCGGTCCCAGTCATCTAGGAAAGTTTGAATCTACGAGCCTCGGTAAAAATATGTTTCAAGGTGAATGGCGTTTAAAAATGCCTGCTCGGACCAAGTGCTCCCGGGCGCAGACTTCTTCCGTTTGGTAGCGCCTAGGCCGCCAACCTCGTGCGTTGGCGACGGAATTTTAGTGCCGAATGGCGGGGTGAACTTTGGCTAAACAACTCATCACCTCTTGGTTTAGAAGACTGACTGGTAGCTGGCCGTGTGCAAGGTCAGGGGTAAGATTTTTGACTTCGCGCTTCGACTCGGCCGTGCCGCCCGCGGTCGGGAGCCCAGTCGGCGGCGTCACTTCGCGCTCCCTCCCTCAGTGCCCTCCCCCCTTGATCCATCTCGTTGAACCTCGGACTTGCATCCCCACACCGGTCCCGCCCATGTCGGCCCCCGACCGATCGCCTTGTCGCAACTCCGAGACGTCGGATGCCGCCTCTCTAACCCCTACCGCGACTTGCACCCTGCCCACACTGCAAGGTTTGCCCCTCCCAACCGCCACCGACACCACGACCCCCCTCCGCCATGTGCACTCACTCGTCATCTCACGGTTGAGAGACCGTCTCGTGAAGTCAAACATCCAATTTGACCAACAGGAAGTCAGCGCCACTGGCCTGAACTTCCTCTTTGAGACGGTCGGTGGTGACCTGGGCACTCCTGAGTCCTTCGCGTTTGCGTCGTACGAGCGAGCAACCACGCGTCATCACCTCCTCTCTGACCAAGAGTTGGCGAGGGTTTTGGTGCTGGTGGAATCTACGAGCAGTGATCCGAACCCGCCAGAGGATGAGCACGTCACCTACGTCCGCAGCTGGGCGCTCCAGGTCGAGGAGCTTGCCCTACTCGTCGAGGCGTGGGTCCAAGCCGGGATCGCTGTCCCGGAGAGCTGGTCGTGGCTTGTCGATGCCTTCGCCCATGAAGATCCGAACAAAGTCATCTACGTACGTTACGTTGGTTCGACCCGTGGTCAGACGGCATACAATCGGTTTATCGAGGACCGTTGTCAGCGCAAGACCGGCATCGTCGGCGAGTTTCTGGGCACGCTGCTCGAGGTCGCTCCCCGAGCCTACGAGCACGGAAAGACGTTCGAGGTGCGTTCCGAGATGGTATCTACTTTTCGGTTAGAGTTTCTTGACCTGAGCGAATGGTTGTACACTTTATGCCACAGATCCGAAATGCTCGTCTGCCGTCGTATCACGAAGGACGAAGATAGGAGAGGTGAGCCGGACGAAGGGGCTCGAGACGAGGGCAAGGGCGAGTGACGAGTTGAGAGGTGTTCTAGGGACTTCTCACAAGAGGCGAGGACGAGGGACGAGTGCAAGGATGTGACCTTTGACGAGATTCGAGTTGCAGAAGGGAAAGAGAGAAGTGAGCTACGGAACTGGGAAACTAGACCAGAGGAGTCGGGGACGAGGTGGCGAGCTTGAGGAGGCGAGGCACGAGGATCACGTAATAGTGTTGAGGCCAAGGATCACGTAATAGAGCTTGGTTAATGTTCACGTAAGAGTCGGGGGCGAGAGGGTTGTGAGCGTATAGTTGGAGGAGAAGAAGGCAGTGCAGGTGCCGAAGCGGGGAGAGGAGGTCCGAAGCGCGGGAAGGCCGAAGTCACGCGGATGCCGTGGGTGCTGAGAGGCCGAACTTGGAGTGGCGAAACTCCCATTCGTGGCAGTACCCCCGGGTTAAGCGTCGAGCTCCGCGAGATGTTGGATACGGTCAGCGCCAGGCTTGCGAGGTTTCGAGCGATGGAAGTCGAGGACGAGAGCATCGTCATCATCGAAATCGGAAGCGTCAACCCACTCACGATCCTGAGGTCCATAGCCAGTCCAATCAACGAAGTATTGAAGCGAGCCATGGCGAACGCGAGAGTCGAGGATCCTTTCGACGACGAAGGCTTCCTGGCCGTCAATGAGGTCGGGCGGCGGCGGCACAGGTTGCTGACGAGAGGGCAGAGTGTTGGGGCGATAAGGTTCGAGGAGCGAGACATGGAAAACAGGATGAATGCGCATCGTCGAAGGGAGGTCCAACTCGTAGGCAACGGGATTGATGATGCGCTTGATGGCGAAAGGTCCGAGCTTGTTGGAGTCGAGCTTCGATGACGGCCGAGTGGTGCGGATGTTGCGTCGATTGAGCATAACTTGTTGACCGAGCGCAAGAGGAGGTGTGGGAGCACGACGAAGGTTGGCGTAGCGAGCATGAGACTCCTGAGAACGACGAATCTGATCTTGTGCAAGTTGTTGGGCATTGCGAAGACCGGCAAGATGTTGTCGAACGTCTGGAACAGGAGTCTCCTGGAGGGTGACTTCAAGCCTTGGGTGATAACCGCGAGAGGCGAAGAAAGGAGTCATCCCTATGCTCGAGTGAAAGGAATTGTTGTAGGAGAACTCAGCTAGGGGGAGCAAATCATGCCAATCGTCTTGATGGTAATCACAGAAGTGGCGTAGGTAGTGCTTGAGGATCTGATTGGTTCGTTCCGTTTGGCCGTCTGACTCTGGGTGGAACGCGGTAGACAGGTTGGGTCGAATGTCGAGCATCTTGAGGAATTCGGTCCACCAAGATGAAGTGAAAGTCGTTCCGCGGTCGGATACGATGTTGCCGGGTAGGCCATGGAGTTGAAAGATGTGGGTCTTGAATTGCGAGGCGAGGGTTTTTGAAGTGTCGCTTTTTCGTGCAGGAATGAAGTGAGCTTCCTTGGTGAGGCGATCAACAACGACGAGGACGGAGTCAAAGCCGGAGGACGGCAGAAGGTCGACAATGTGATCCATCGAGAGCGAGGACCAGGGTTTCGTCGGAACCGGGAGCGAGTGAAGTGGGCCATGCTTCCGATGATGGGAGGGCTTGTTGCGCTGACAACTGTCGCAGGAGCGAACATAGTCATTGACGAAGGCGCGCATCCCAGGCCACACAAAGTTCCGATCAAGCAGTTCGAAGGACTTAGCTTGGCCGAAATGCCCAGATGGAGGCGAGTCATGAACTTGACGCAGGAGTTTGACCTTGAGAGGTTCGAAATCGGGGACGTAGATCTTGTGGCGTTGTAGGAGGAAGCCATCTTGAAGTGCAAAGTCGGGGTGAAGCGAGGCGTCACGATTGAGATCGTTGATGACGCGAAGAGATGCCGGATCATGAAGAAGGCGAGACTTGATCAAGTCAGCGATCTCTGAGGAGGGTGAAAAGGTGGCGGAGATAGAGGATGGACGTAAAAGCACTACACCGGGTTGTTCACAAGCTTTTCCCCCCGCGGCAAAGTCGGGACGCCGAGAAAGCGCGTCGGCCTTGTTGTTTTGAGCGCCGGGTCGGTACTTGATGATGTAGTTGAGGTGGTTGACCGTTTCGGACCAGCGAGCTTGGCGACGAGTGAGCACTTTGGTCGTCTGGAAGTATTGAAGCGCGTTGTGGTCGGTGAACTCCTTCGAGATAATGTCGCCAAAGTTTCATGCAGGCAACGATGGCGAGGAGTTCCTTGTCGTGGATCTCGTAATTCTGCTCGGCAGGGGTCATCTTGCGAGAGAAGAACGCAACAGGACGAAGCTGAGAATCGACTGACTGGGAGAGGATCGCGCTGATGGCATAATCAGACGCATCGGACTCAATGACGCAAGGAAGCGAAGGATCGTAGTGACGAAGGACGATGTCGGAAGCGAAGAGCGACTTGAGGCGATTGAAGGCGGCGAGAGCCAAGGAGTCGAAGTCGAAGACGGCACCCTTCTTGAGAAGACGGGTGAGAGGCGAGATGATGCGAGAGTAGCCTTGAATGAAACGCCGGTAGAAGTTGGCGAAGCCGAGGAACTGTTGCAACTCCTTGAGCGTGGTCGGAGCTGGCCAGGAAGTGATGGAGTCCACCTTCGAAGGAGACATCGAGACACCGTCGGGCGAAATGATGAAGCCGAGGTACTCAGTCGAAGTCTGGTGGAACTCACACTTCTTCGGGTTGCAGTAGAGCCGATTGTCGATGAGGCGACGAAGGACTTCTTGCACATGAACGACATGGTCGGAAGGCGAATCCGAAAAGATGAGGATGTCGTCGAGGTAAACGAGCACCGTGACGTCGAGGAGGTCGCGGAAGATGCTGTTCATCAAGTGTTGAAAGGCAGCAGGGGCGTTAGTGAGACCGAATGGCATGACGAGGCATTCGAAGTGACCGTAGCGTGTGCGAAACGCGGTCTTCCATTCGTCTCCCCCTTTTATGCGAACGAGGTTGTAGCCGGAGCGCAGATCGAGCTTGGTGAAGATCTTGGCCGAACGAAGTCGGTCGAGCGCCTCCGGGATCAAGGGCAAGGGGTATCGATTCTTGAGGGTGACCGCGTTGAATCCCCGGTAATCGACACAGAGGCGGAGCGACCCATCCTTCTTGCGAACAAAGAGAATGGGAGCGCCCGCTGGCGAAGTCGACGGGCGGATGAACCCCTTCGAGAGGTTCTCGTCGATCCAAGTCGAGAGTGCCTGAAGCTCCTTTTCGGACAGAGGGTAGAGAGGGCCGAAAGGAGGTTGCTTGCCGTCTTCTATCTCGATGGCGAGATCGAAGGGTCAATGAGGCGGAAGAGTGTCGGCCTGCGCTTTGGAGAAAGCCTGAAGAAGGTGGTGGTACTCCGAAGGAAGCACAGATCGCAAGTCATCGAGGTATTCGGCAGAATCAGGTGGACCCACAGGGAAGACTGACGGGGAGGCTTCCTCTGAGGTCGAGAACAAGTACGAGTGCTGGATCGCGATTGATCAGGCCAAGGGAGGGCTCATCGACCAGAATTTGATCGAAGGCGTCGGAGGAAGCGAGGGCGACGTCCAGAGCAAGGTCGGGCGCCGAGTGTACGAGTGGGAGGCCCTGAAGGCCAACATCAACTGAGGTTGGATGTCCAAGAGTGCATTGAGAGCACGAGAAAGTGAGTGTATTGTCTGCCCAATTGATAGAGGGATTGAAGAGACGTAACCATGGGGTGCCGAGCACCAGCGGGTAGGTACCCAGCTGCGTGACATCGGCCTGAATGACTTGAGAGTGTCCTCCGAGCGTGATCGTGAGGCGAACGAAGTGGGTGACGTGGCCGGACGCGATGGGGCGGCCGTCGATGACGAAGAGTGGGATCGGAGTCGAGTGGGGGCGGCGGACGAGGCCATGACGAGACACGAAAGAGTCGTCAATGAACAACGAGGTCGCACCCGAGTCGATGAGGGCCGAGCCTGAGACCGGAGATTCCAGGCAGAAGTCGAGGGGTAGGACGAGATGATCGAAAGGTTGAGTGTCGAGTGTGGATGCCAGAGTGATGTAGACCGGTGAAGGAGGTGACCGAGTGATGCCGTGCGCGTGTGTGATGTCCTCATGCGTACACGAGGGCAGAGGACGCTCTAGTTTTTCGAATTGCTAGAGGGGGCAGCGGCATCTGTGATGGAGAAAGTGGCGTTGCCAGCACGACGTCCTGGATACTTCCTTGGAGCGGCGGGGCAAGAGCTGACCTGGTGGCCACCTTCACCGCAGTAAAGGCAGAGGTTGTTCTTGAGGCGTTGTTCGCGTTCTTGAGGGGTGAGAGGAGCCCTGCGAGTGGTCGTGGCGTCGACGTCCATGGGAGTGGGGCCCTGGGTCGTGACGTTCGTGGTGACGCGGGTGGTGACGCGGGTCGGCGGCGAAGCCGAGTTGCCGCGTTGCTGAGAGTGTTGCGAATGAGGCTTGGTGGTCGGCTTCGCTTCTTGACGGCTTTGATGAAGACGGTTGTCGGCCTTGATAGCTTTGGCGGAGAGGTCGGCAACCGAGGTGGGGTCGTCTTGGAGGCTGAGCATGTTGCGAACGTCGGGCTTGAGGCCGGCGTAGTATTGGGCCTGCAAAGCGGGATCATTCCAAGCAAGGAAAGCAGAGAGCTGGAAGAAGGTACTCGCATAGGCAGCCGCGGATCCGGTTTGGGTAAGGGCGCGCAACTTGTTGGTAATGGTGTGTTCGCGATCGGGGTCGCCGAGGTAGAGCTGGGCCTGTTCGAGGAAAGCGGTGAAGTCCTTGAGAAAGTGGGGGCGCTTCTCGTCGGCGAGCTCGATGTAGGGTTCGAAGACCTTGTAGGCACTGTTGCGGAGGAGGGAAATCATGAAAGCAATCTTCGCCTGATCCGTAGTGAAGAGAGTGGGGTTGCCATAGATGTAGAACTTGCACTGAGATACGAACGTAGAGTAACCGGTCTTGTTCATAGGCAGGCGGCTTCCCCAACGGCGACTTGGGCTTGGGAGTGTGCTGGAGGGTGTCGGTGAGCTTCTTGACGACGCTGAAGTTGTCCAAAACCGCTTGGTAGGTCTGCTGTAGAGCGCGGCCTTCGGCGTGGAGGCTGGCGATTTCAGCTTCGCAAGAGGCTAGGGCGGCCTGGAGTTCTTCGATAGAGAGAGGGTTGGAGGACATGGCAGAGGAGTCGGTAGAACCTGGGAACTCGAATCTTCTATCACGAAGGACGAAGATAGGAGAGGTGAGCCGGACGAAGGGGCTCGAGACGAGGGCAAGGGCGAGTGACGAGTTGAGAGGTGTTCTAGGGACTTCTCACAAGAGGCGAGGACGAGGGACGAGTGCAAGGATGTGACCTTTGACGAGATTCGAGTTGCAGAAGGGAACGAGACCAGTAAGCTACGGAAATGGGAAACTAGACCAGAGGAGTCGGGGACGAGGTGGCGAGCTTGAGGAGGCGAGGCACGAGGATCACGTAATAGTGTTGAGGCCAAGGATCACGTAATAGAGCTTGGTTAATGTTCACGTAAGAGTCGGGGGCGAGAGGGTTGTGAGCGTATAGTTGGAGGAGAAGAAGGCAGTGCAGGTGCCGAAGCGGGGAGAGGAGGTCCGAAGCGCGGGAAGGCCGAAGTCACGCGGATGCCGTGGGTGCTGAGAGGCCGAACTTGGAGTGGCGAAACTCCCATTCGTGACACGTCGGCGGCGTCGCCTGCGGCCCGCGACTTGAGGGAGCAAGTCATCATCGCCTTCTTCGGGCGTCACAATCTTTTGAACGTGCAAGCCGGAGGAATTTATGCATCCTACGCGCCCAATCCCTCCGACATCGACTTTCTCAAGAGCCCTACCTCGCGTTTCTTCCAGAACTTTGCCCAATGGTCCAAACCCGTCCCTCGAGCAATGATTGAACAGCTCAAGCACTGGAAGGACTACATCGCCGACCTCGTCGCCAGTAATCCGCAGTCAACGCGCTCGGCCGTGCTTCCCCTGCCCGCCAAGACGCTCAACACGATATTCGGGCAAGCCGTTCCTAGCCAAATCGGGGGTCTTGTGCCCATGGTACATGTCGGTCTCGACATTACCCTCGAGGCTTACCTTGATGGAAGCCCATTCTGGTCGGGCCACTCTCAAGCAGGGCACATCGCTCGCATCTTTACCCAGCAACATGCGGCCTACGAACTCGGCCGAGACGACTTTGAGCTCGACGTATCCGCTATGCCATTTGTCGATGTGTTCCCGTGGCCGTGCAAAGCGGACCTGGACCTGGGACTGGCTCAGCTCATGAATTACCTTGGTATTGTCGTCCTCCCCATCCTCGTCATTGCTCCTTCGCACTTGTCGTTCTCCTGCGCCATGGCAAATTGGCTTCACCCGTTCGGAATCGGTTTGGATACGGAGATCTTCTCGCATGTGGGCAAGGTGAACTGTCGATATCTCCTTGACAATGACTACCTTGAGGACGAGACCCAGCTCGAGCCACCCCGCGATCGGGAGGTTCTCGTCATAGACCACGTACATCCGGGCTACGACAAGTACGGCACTCAGCCGCAAGAGCTTCGCCGTGTCTTTGACATCTGCCACACCATCACGTGGTTCGTTGCCGGTGTTGTTGTGGAAAAGTCCCATCTACTCGCCCAGGGTCGTCCCGACGGCCGAGCCGATCGCGCAGCCGTCATCGACGAGGTCATGAAAACCCTCGACTTGTCCTCCCGCTTCAGCGACCTCGAGCAGAAATGTGACGCGTGGGTTGCCGAATATCAACTGTGGGTGGTCGAACATCGCGCGCAGTATCGTCCTCGCATGGGAACGGCGGTGGCAAGCGGGGTGCGCAAAGCCGGTGCACGGCGACGCGTATCGAACATCGAGCTCGCGTGGGGCGATGTCGGCAGTGCGGAGCGTCAGCGTCAGCTCGTACGCGTCTGGAAGCTGCAGAACCCAGAATATTTCCTGTGCTTGGAGCGGCCGGTCACATGGGAAAAGTGGGAGCAGTGGGGTGGAGGCGTTGCCAAAGGGAATTCGTATTTCGCGACCGCGCTCGCGCAGGCTGGTCGACAGCTCCTGGTCGCCCAAGGACGACATCCTTTGCGCAGCGTCTTGCTCGGTGAGTTGCTCATCCCGGCCCTTGGCATCCGCACATTCCCCTGCTTTCAACCTGCGTAGACACCCTCGCTGGCTTGCAACCTCCAACGGTTCGCTGACAGGTGGCTTTCGACTTCTTGGTATGTGCCATAGCGTTCACCCCCGACGAGATGTGGATGGCCGATCCCGTCGCTGTGCAACGGGCCTTGTCCACATGGTCCCACAACGCACTCGCCCACCGTGTCGCCGACCGTGACTTTCCCGCTGATCATTGGTCCAGCAAGAAGCAGCGCGCACGCACGCTCAAGAAGGGAACCATCTTTCTGGACAGGCTGGAGGGAGAGGTAGCAGAGTTCAACTTCTCGAACCGAAAGTGCGAAATCCTGCTCCGCCGCCACGACACCGAGGTTGACAATGACTTTACCTTCCGTCTTCGGCTCTCACCGAGCTTTGCCCCCCGCGCCGAAGGCGAGCGCCGCATCTTGCACTTCCTTCCCGGAGGTGTCGGACTCGAGGACGAGAACGGGAATTTCCTACAACGTGATGGTTTCACCCCCGAAGAAGGCATCTTTCGTGCTCGAGACGCAGTGCTGGGGCATCGTGGGGACATCTTTGCTCGCATCTTCGCTGCCGAACGGGCGGCTCTGGCCCCTGCCGCGCCTGCCCGCACGGCCACCACCACCTCGACGAGTACGAACACGCTTGCTGCTACGGCCACGGCGATGCAACTCCTGATGCCCCCGACGGGAGAGCCGCCGGTCACGTCTACCACCCGTAAACAGAAGCGCACCGAGGCGAGGGAACAGAACATCTCCCCCGGAGACGGGGTCTGGCTGCTAAAACAATGGGTCGACTGGAGGTGTGGGTTTGAGAAGCCGATCACATTCAACACGCTCAATCCCCGCGACGGCCTGTAAGGCGCCGCTCCGCTTACGCCTCACGACGACCTCGAGCCAACCTCTGCGGCCTCACGCTTGCCCTCGCGCGCGGCGCCGCCGCGTCTCTTGACCTTAGTCCTTTTAGTAGTCTTTCTTCGCCTGCGAATTACACCGTTTGATCCTTTCTGTTTGGACTCGGAATCAGTGAGGCTCGAGAGCGATCTCTTGCCTTTCACTTTGCTAAACGCCACTAAACCGCTAAAGTGCACAAAATGGCACAAAATGGCACTAAAAATGGCGCTGTTTGATGAACTTAGCAAAGTTTGATGAAGTTGACACTTAAAATTTGGAGGAGTGCTGTGGTGAGGTGTAACAATGTCAGGACCTTGGTTGCTATTCTTCCTATTACAAACTCTAGGTATCAGTATACCAAGTACTCGACCTGCAATAGATACATAAAGGCATGATTTGCTCTCAACACCTGTTTTGCAGTATTATAATCTCAAAGGACTGAAGCTATACTGTTGATTCAATTGACCAAAATCATGACAGGGGCTATTCTGATAGATCCATTCGCACCGCCCTCCCTTTCCCCTTCCCGCGACTCTGAGGTGTTCTCTGATCACGTAGAATTTTGATGCTAAATAATCTCGCAAAGCGATAACATACAAGTTCACAGATTTACAGTCAACTGGTCTTTCCAGATGTCCACAACATTCTGGATATTCCATGCCGGCGTGATCTCCATTTGTCAAAGTAGCACCTGCCTAAGATCTGATCGTAAAACAAAACATCCTCAACCAAGTGTCGTAGATTGAAGTCGCTATGCGGCGACGGAAGAAGGAAATGCACCTGCTGCGCCTACGAACGGAGTGGGACTTGGACAAATTTTGGGAGTAAGGCGCCAGTCAGTGCAAGCGCCGTCGCGGCCAAGTGACTCGCATTAGGCCACGGCCGCGTTGTTGTTTACCAAGTCCACGTGCCGTTGCAAACCTCCTTTTCCTTCCTCCCACTCACTGCCACCGCTCGCCATGCCCACCCCTTCTTCCCTCTTGCCTCCACCATCATCTTTCAATCTGCCCCCGGCCATTTCCGAGTGAGTCGACCGTATGGCACAGCCATTGAAAGGTATGGCTGAAGCGTTACAAGCCGCCGGCAAAGACACCGCCAGCGTCCGGCGGGACCAATGCGCGGTCAAAACAAACACGAAGCAGAGAGGCGCACGTCACATCTTGGCAACGCTAACCATCTTCGGAGGGGTTCTTGGAACTTCGCTGTGGCCCCACTGTTAAGGTGAGCTTGAGGAAGTTATACTGTTGTCCAGAGCAGGAATTCGCTGGTAAGTATTTGCATTACTGCAGAGAGATTTCCAGTTCGGCCGGAAGCCAGACGACCTGTCAAACTCACTGTTGAACGATCTCGCCGCCGTGTTTGCAGCTTGCGCCAAGAGCCAAAAGCTGGCCTCCCTCAATGCGGCGCAGCCGGCCCACCAAGCCCTGGCTTTTGGTCTAGTATCTTACGCTCTTACGCTTAAGCTGCGGTGAGTCGAGAGATCATCCGCGGATATCGGTTTTATTCCTCTGACATTCGACCTAGCTTTCCGAGTCGTCTACTGGTCTCATCAATAGGCGCACGTGTCTCTCGAAAAGGTGATGCCCCTGATTGTGGGGTTCTCCGGTGAGTCTCAATCATCAGATGTTGTGACATACATGGGTTGTTTCCGCAGCGGGCAAAGGGGGGTATGCTTCCGTTTTCAGGCGGCGAAACAGTGGCCAAAGACTCGCTCGAGGCAAGCCCGGGGGCCTGGCACTTTAGGAACACTAGGCGCCGAATGATACGTAAGAAGAGGACTCAGAATAGATTGTTTGGCTGGCAGTAGCCTAGTACTTAGCACTGCGTAATATGAGTGGAATGCAAGCATATACCAGTACTATACCAGGCATTAATCACTCAAGCGCGGTTATACACATAAAAGCATTGAAATCAGGTTGCTGTTGCAAAAGCACTATAAGTGCACTAAAGTGCACTTAAGTTAACTGCCTTTTAAGTGCCATTTAGCGACCCACCAGAGATTATAGAAAACGAGCTAAATTGCACTAAAAGTGCGCTAAAGCGCGAGTGGCAAAGTTGCTGATGCACTCCCCCTTCCTCATTGGTATCCGGTCCTGGGTCCCTCGGCCCCGCCACCACCTCTCGTCCTTTGTGAATTACTCTTGCTCCCGCATCTCGGAGCGATTCCGCCGTCGCAGCACCGGGACCTTCGACAGAGGCCTCACATCGTGCTCGAGTCGTGGGCAATTTCGCACCAACGAAACATCCTCGATCACCCTCACCATTCGAGGAGTCGTTGCCGTAGTCATCGAGTATCGACCTTGTTCGTAGACGAGTTTCTCCCTTTTTCGACGCTGGACCGAGCCGTCTGGGGTTTGATGCGGTGTGTATGTTTATAGTCAAGTTGCGCTTCTTTTTGTTTTGCCAGGGCTCATACCTTGCAATTTGACCGCCTCTTTTTTTTCTGCTTTACCCGGGCTCAGGAAGGGGGTGGTGTCTGGTGTGGTAACATAATACCCAGATACAATTACAACCCCAAAAGATACATCAGCAACTTTGCCACTCGCGCTTTAGCGCACTTTAGTGCCAAAAGCGCACTTTTAGTGCAATTTAGCTCGTTTTCTATAATCTCTGGTGGGTCGCTAAATGGCACTTAAAAGGCAGTTAACTTAAGTGCACTTAAGTTACTTTGCAACAGCAACCTGATTTCAATGCTTTTATGTGTATAACCGCGCTTGAGTGATTAATGCCTGGTATAGTACTGGTATATGCTTGCATTCCACTCATATTACGCAGTGCTAAGTACTAGGCTACTGCCAGCCAAACAATCTATTCTGAGTCCTCTTCTTACGTATCATTCGGCGCCTAGTGTTCCTAAAGTGCCAGGCCCCCGGGCTTGCCTCGAGCGAGTCTTTGGCCACTGTTTCGCCGCCTGAAAACGGAAGCATACCCCCCTTTGCCCGCTGCGGAAACAACCCATGTATGTCACAACATCTGATGATTGAGACTCACCGGAGAACCCCACAATCAGGGGCATCACCTTTTCGAGAGACACGTGCGCCTATTGATGAGACCAGTAGACGACTCGGAAAGCTAGGTCGAATGTCAGAGGAATAAAACCGATATCCGCGGATGATCTCTCGACTCACCGCAGCTTAAGCGTAAGAGCGTAAGATACTAGACCAAAAGCCAGGGCTTGGTGGGCCGGCTGCGCCGCATTGAGGGAGGCCAGCTTTTGGCTCTTGGCGCAAGCTGCGAACAAGGCGACGAGATCGTTCAACAGTGAGTTTGACAGGTCGTCTGTGACAGGCAACGTCGGAGGGGATGACGATGCCCACACGCGAGAGACGAGGGAGAGAGCGAGAGAGCGCGCAAGTCGGGCGAGGTTCTAGCAAGGGAGCGCACAGCGGGTCTAAGTCAAACTGGACGGGCGCATTGCGAAACAAGACCGAACTCCAAGCGGGCCATCGAGGCTCTGAGAGGGGCTGTGTTGGACAGCGGACACGAGGGGAAACTTATCTACCATGGTCGAGTGTTGGTGAGCGAGGGAGTCCGTAGCGACTAGTGCAGGTTGCGAACGGCGGGCGTCATGCATGGGCGATGCTCTGGATGGCCGATGAAAGATGAGGGCGGTGATGGCAAGCTGACGGTGTCTAGGCGGAGGCAACGGATCGGTAAGGACAGGAGAGGTAGATTGACAAATTTCCGGCGTGTGAGGCGGCGGCGCGCGAGCGTGAGTTGAACAGGCTGGCGCGGAGGCGGCGAACAGGGGCAGCGGCTTGGCTGCGAAGGCGAAGGCGCCGAGACGAAAAACGGCGAAGCGGCACAGGCGTGGTCTGACACGACGGACGTGGTGCGGGCTGGACGGACCAGGATGTGGACGGGTTGACTAACGGTGCACATGGGTCGAGGGGGCGAGACTGGTCGTGTGTATCAGGCCACGAGGCTCGGAGGGACAGGGGGCGCGGCGGAGGCTCGCTGAGGCGAAGGCGCGCGGAGGCAAGGCGCCGAGGCGAAAGTGTAGAATGTAGGTCGTGGAACTTTTCGGAACTGGGTGTAGCGACCGCTGGGGCTACTGTTGGGCGCGTCGACGTGGCTACGGTTGCGACGGACGGTCCGATTGGGAGAAGTCGCAAGGCGGCACAGACGCGGTCTGACGAGACGGCGGTGCGGCTGGACGATCTGTTCTCTACCGAAGATTAGCAGTCTGGCTAATGTCAGGATCACAGCCTGCACTGCCATCAATACTCGAAGGATTTTTTATTTTTTTATTTTTACTGGGGCTCATAAATTGCAATCCTTCGGGTTGGCTGGGACCGCTAGAAAAAGAGCTAAAAGAGGTTATAAAGCAACGACGGCAAGCAATTGGGTGAAAGTCAAACCCCTGCGCACAAAGAGCGCTGCGCAGATCAAAACTCGCCGAGCACCTAACGCGGACTCCAACGGGCGGTGAGTACTGCTGCCGCTTCACGTCCCAAGAGCGGGAGTGAAGATACTCGAAAACCAGGCAAGAGCGCCTAGAGAAAGAAAAGGGGAGAATATACAAAAATTCACGACTGGAAACACGGAGAACCAGGAATACTAAGACAGAGAGGAGGGGAGGAGGAGGGGAACACACCCGAGGGGCCAAGGGAGGGGGTCGAAGCCAGAGCTAGAGGTCCCCAGGGACTGACAGGCCGCAGCCAAGCCCCAGCTACTCGTCACCCCGACAGCGCCTGATGTCCTCCCTTGGCTGAGTCTCGAGTGCTGGCTGTTGAGCCGTCGGGGCCGAGCGAAAACGATCCAATACAACGAAACAAGCCTCGCCTTGACGCAAGGATATTGACCAAAAAAACGAGCGACCTTTCTTCCCGATCCATGCCGTAGATCTTGACCAACGCGAACGAACGATCTATTTGACGGAATCCAACACACGGCTTAGGAATAAAAGGAGAAGTGGCTGAAGCGTAGTCAACAACCGAGTAACAGGAACGAGAAGAGGAAGGGAAGGGAGAAAGGGGAAAGAGAGGGGAGAACTTCACAAAGCCTCCAACGCAACGATGATCGACCCGGCTTGCCGATCCATCCAAGAACGAAAACCGCTACTGCACAAAGTAGAGAGAGGGAGAGGTGCGCAGCCTTCCACTGCGCAACAAGTTTCAAGACAGTCAGCTTCTGACCGAAAAGGAAGGGAGGAAAATGGGAAGGAAGGACTTAACTCGGTCATCACACCTCCCAATCTCGAACCCCAGGCACAAAACCCGCTCGAGAGAGAAAATCTCGCTCGAACGCTCTGAGCGCACTGGGAAGCGAGGGAGGGGCCACGACGTTGTCCAGCTCGAACCGCTGATGAACGCGCCAGCGGAGCAGGTGCAGCCGCTGGAAGCCGATCGCGCAGGCCAGCCGAACCCACATCCATTTCGAGGTCGTTCTCCCACGACCCCGCAAAAGGGGGAGCCCCATAGTCAGCTGCTCCGGAGTGAACGTCGGTATCCTCGATGCCGAGCTTGTCAAGCAGAATGCGTAGCACCCCACCCCAGAAGCTGGTCGAGTACGCGCACTCGAAAAAGTAATGGGACACCGTCTCGATGACCGCTGCATCGTTGCCACAGAACAGACACGCCGGCGAAGAGGCATGACCCTGAGTATGTTGCCTCTTGCGCGTCGGCGTCATGTCGTACATGAGCCGCCAGTGGGTGTCCTGCTCGACAGCAGACGCGAACCGGTCATGAAGCCATCTCCAGAAGCACTTCCTATCGCTCTGAGAAGTCCCATCAGGGAAACGCTTGACACGGTCCTCCCTCCCTGGGAACCGCACCTTGTTCACAAGCCGACGAAGCTTGCGAATCGTAAAAGGTCGGGAGAGCCCAAAGAAGTTGAAGCACCGAGGACGGGGAGCCTCCTTGAGAGGTATCCGAGCAGGTCGCAACGCGGTCTTGGGCAGCAACGCTTTCGCCTTGAGCAACTGACCCACGCGCGACCACACGTGCTCGTGCTGTAGGGCGGGTTCCTTAGAGTGCTGCCAGAACCCGCGTCGATGACCAACCAGAGCCCATCCCTTCCCTTCGTCCCTCCAGTACAGGTCCGCGATCTGCGCAAACTTCGCCACCGCGTCCGCATCGTCATATGCGTGCTGGGCACCTTCAGCATAGAGTGAAGGGAGGCGAGGCGGAAGCGAGAGCAATTCGGGAAGCGTAAGGAGTTCGGACTTGATGGTTGGAACTGTGACCCTGGCCGCTGCAACGACTGCCCCCCAGCGCGTCGAGTCGCGATACAGCTTCTCGACCCGAGCCGTGCTGCTGAAGAACCCCCACGGACTGAAATCGCGGGTCGCAGTGACGAGGGATCTCCAGCTCTCGCGAGCTAGGGGCGCCCAGATCGCCTCGTCCGAGCCCACCACAGCATCCCAAAATCGAAGCGCCACCGAATGAACGATGTCGCCAATCGAAATCAAACCCAAGCCACCGTCCTCCCGAGCCTGGAACACGAAATCGCGAGCGACGGTATTTCGCCCTGCTCCTCCCCAGACAAAGTCCGTAAGTGCCGTCTCCGCCGCCTTAATGAACCATTGAGGCGGTATGTCGAAGGACAGCACGTGGAGGACCATCGAGATGATGTGAGCGTTGGCATAGAAAACCTTCCCACTCGGCGAAAGTGTCCGGTCTCGAGTGGCGCGGGCCTTGGCCTTGATCCTGTCAAGAACATGGGTCCACAACAGTTTCGAGTCACCGTGGGGAAAGAAGGCATAGCCGCACCACTTGAAGCTCTCCCCCTCCTGCACCGTTGGCAGCGCCTGCGCAGTCTCGTCCCGAAGCCAGTTCGGTCCGAGTGGTAGCACCAGCGTCTTGTCCGTGTTGGTCTTCCCGTTGGTAGCCTCGTACCACGTCTGCGACAGCGTTTGCAGCTTCGACAATGCCGCCGGTGACTCCACCACCACCACAGCATCGTCGGCAAACGCCAGATGCGTAAGCTGCGCACGCGGCCCCCCTGGCCACACCTTCTGCAGGTCGAGCGCGATCCCGCGCCGAACGAGGGCGTCGAGGAAGGGCTGGAACATGATGTTCCAAACCGGGCACGAGAGGGGATCCCCCTGACCGAGACCACACAGCAACCGCACCAAGTCCGTGGGGAACCCATTGACAAGGTAGCGCACCCCCAGAGTCTCGGGATCGTAGAGAGCGCGCAGCAGCAAGATGAAACGCTCACCGAACCCAAAGGCCTCAAAGACCTCGAAGATCCAGGCGTGATCGACCCGATCGTACGCGCTCTGCTGATCCAAAGACAAGAGGGCGCCCTCGGGGAAAACATCAGTGCCTAGCAACTTGAGTTTTTCGAGAAGGAGAGTGAGATGACTTCCCGCGTCCGCTGAACGTCTTGATGGCATGAAACCGTGTTGCGCCGGCGGCAAAAGCTCGCCGAGCACCCCATTGAGTCGCGCCACCAAGACCTTGCTGAGGACCTTGTAGGTCGTCTCGCGCAATGTGATCGGTCGGTATGCCCCCGGTTTATTCTTGGGCAAGAGCCGCACCAGCCCCTCTGCCAAGGACGCCGTCATTTTGCCGCCCTCCCAAATCGAGTTGAACAAGTCCAACAGCTTGGGAGCAAAGTAGGTTGGCAGCGCCTTGAAGAGCTCGTACGGAATGCCCGAGGGCCCCGGTGATCGCCCTGAATCCGTCTTCTTCAACGCCGCTTCAACCTCGAGGAGGGTGAAGGGCTCGTCAAGCGCCACTCTCGCTTGACAAGGCAGCCGACGACCGAACGTAGGGTCCGAGCGGTCGTCATCGTAGCATTTCGCTGCGCGAATAGGGTCGAGCAGGGACCGGCGTGCGTTCGTCGGGTCGCCACGAGCTGGGTCCGGCGTGAAGAGCGACTGCGCGTGCCGTGAAGCAATACCCAGCACCTCCTGCATGTCAACGGTCTCGGTGCCATCCACATCCTCCAGCGAGACAATGCTCGTCTGGCGACTCTGGCGGTTGAGGCGCGTGCAAATGCTTGCCGATTGACCTTCCCTCGAGTCGACTGACGGCACATGCGCACGAATGCGCAGCCACTGAGCCTCCTTTATGTTAAGTTGGGACCGTGGGGGTCGCTGGAGAATCGTGAGGCGGCACGGACCGGATCGTTTCGGGAGGTTGCGAGGCAGGACGACGTAGCAAAGTGCTCCCCGGTCGAGAAGTCGCGAGGCGGTGAAGACGCGGCCTGGAGAGGCAGCCGCGGCGCAGCCGAGCGATCTGTTCTCTAGCGAATCTCAGCAGTCTGAATGATGAGATGAAACGATGATGCGATTGCAACGGACCTGTTCTCTAGCGAATCTCAGCAGTCTGAATGATGAGATGAAACGATAGAGAAAAGGGAAAGAGGCGCGGGAGCGCGCGAGTCGGGCGAGGTTCTAGCAAGGGAGCGCACAGAGAATCTAACTGGGCAGGCACACAATGCAAAGCTTCAAGGACCAGACTCCAAGCGGGCCATCAGGGCGTCGAGAGGTGTCGTGTTGGACGACGGCACGAAGGGAAACTTATCCACAAGGTCAAGTGTTGATGAGCGAGGCGATCCGCAGCGACGAGATCCAGGTTGCAAACGACGGACGTCATGCATGGGCGATGCTCTGGATGGCCAATGAATCATGAGAGCGGCGGCGGCGAACTGGAGGTAGCTGGGCGGAAGCATCGACTCGGCAAAGCTGGAGAATGCGGGCTGACTAAGTCCGGGTGTGAGGGCGGCGGCGTGCGAGCGTGAGTTGAGCAGGCTGGCACGGAAGCGAAGGCGAAAGGGCGGCCTTGGGCGCAATGGGCGACCAAGCGGCAGTCAAAGGTACGAGGGCGTTGACAGGGGCACTCGGACGGAGACGAAGAACACGGGCCAGTGAAGGTGCACTGACAAGACAGACAGCGCCATGCGAGGGCGTGCGAAGGCGAAGGCGCGAAGGCAGGGCTGGCAGCGGCTTGCGAAGGTGCAGAGGTGGCGCAGGTGTGTGGTGGCGTGCAGGCAGGGCAGGCGACGACCGGGTGAACAGACCAAGATGTGGGCGAGTTGACAAAGGCGCACAGGGGTCGAGGAACGAGGCTGGGCGCAGGATCATGCGGTGAGGCTCGAGAGACAGGGGGCGCAGTGAGGGCTTGCGAAGGCGAAGGCGCGCGGAGGCGAGGCACCGAGGCGAAAGCGTGCGGAGGCAAGGCGCTGAGGCGAAGGCGCGAGGCGAAAGGCGGGCAAGTCCATCAAACGGCGGTCCGATGTCGAAGTGTTCGAAGGCTTGACAGAATGCAATTCAACACTTTACCGCCAACTGGTCCAACCGCGACTTGGCAAGAGCATACGCATCGCGCTCGGCCTCATTCATGTGCTCACCGCGTGCCTCCAAAGCCTCCATGACGGATTGGCTCTCGGCCCGCAGTCGGCGCATGTCGGCACGAGTCGAGCGGTATCGTGCATGGCCAGCGACTGCAACCGCCCGCAGAGCGGCGTCATAGACGTCGCCGAGCGGAGCGGTCCCCTCGAGCCTTCGATAGTGACAGGCAACGTCGGAGGGGATGACGATGACTACACGCGATAGACAAGGGAGAGAGCGAGAGAGCGCGCGAAAGCGCGAAGGAGCGAAAGGGGGGGTCGACCGAGGCGGCGGCAGTCGACCGAGAGGCAACCGCGGAGGATACGCGGCTGCAAGGCTCGCAGCAAGTCCAGTGTACCGAACTATGGTGGCCAACGAGGTCGGATAGAAGAGGGAGGGCAAATGATCCAAGAAATAGCTGACCAGGCCGATGGGAAGGTCGAGTCGACTGGGCGGCGGCAGTCGACCGAGAGCAACCGAGGAGTGGATTCGGTCGGAAGGCTTCGCAGCAAATCAAGTGTAACGGACTTAATTGCCAGCGAAATGGGTAAAAAGAGGGAGGGTACGAGTCTAGAAGAGTTGACCAAGCTCTGGGGAAAAGGTGGCAAAAGCAAAGGGAGGGAAGTGCTCCGAGCGAAGGAAAGACTGAGTCAAATAACTACACCACGAGGTCGCTTCAGGGGTAAAAAGGATTGCCCGCCAGGCACCGGTAAAAACCCCGAAGCCGGGCCTCGGATAACAAAAAAGGGAAAAGAAACCAAAAGGCAGATCGCGCTCCGGGCGGATCGAACCCTCGACCACTGAGTGCGCGCCCGCGCGCCCTCACAACTACGCCATCGCGCCGACAATGCTTGCAACGAACAAACCGGTAGCTGATGTCGACTCCGGCCGCAAACTTGGGAGACTTCCTTCGAGTATTGATGGCAGTGCAGGCTGTGATCCTGACAGATAGACCTCGTCGACAACCCCGGGAATCGATGCGACAAAGTCTTGATCGTCAAAGACCATTGGGTTGAGCCTCGAAATGAAATCGCTCATGGAGGGAAGAGAAAGGGGGGGTTCGGCATCAGCGTTCGATGTAGGCAAAGCGAAAGTCGCAACTACAGGTCTGTGGTCCGAACAGGGCGCATCGAAGAGCGTAGAAGCGCTCAACAACCGGTTCGCCCAACTGCATTGGACAAGAATATAGTCGATCCGCGACCACGAGCAAATCTTTCGCTCTTCCCCTCTACCACGGTAGTGAGGACGAGTGAATGCAGGGGTGCAAGGATGGACATGTCGGACCGTGTCGAGTGCCTTGAACGTGATCTTTGACAGCAAGGTCTGCCTGTCAGGATCACAGCCTGCACTGCCATCAATACTCAAAGGATTTTTTTTTTTTTTTGTAGAAAACGTTCATCATATTGCCCCCAATTCCTGTTCCCCCTGTTTCGGCCTACGGAAAAACTAGATGGAAGACTACGATGATAACACAAACCGCCCGCAAAAGTGCGAGAAACGAGCCAAGTCCACCAATCCGAGATTCGGATTCAAATGCCCTAGCCAAGCGGTTGCTCCCCCCAGGAGACGAATGAGAGAGAGAAAGAGAAAGAGAAAGAAAAGAAATGTACTAACGACAGAAGGCCCACCCCACAGCCACTTCCCACTCGGTCGAGACGAAGACAAGAGCACGACTGCGCAACCACCACGACCCTCGACGCTCCAAGTCTCTGCTCAGTCACAACAAGACGCGGTGAAGGTCCCTCAAAACCTCCCCCTCGGCAGTCCCTGGCCCCTCAAAGCCGACTTTCTGCCTGTGTCCGCTGATCCCTCCCTTGACTCAGAACCCCGAAGCCGAAGAGCGCGAGCCACACCGAGTCGACGCCAAATCGCGAGATGGTCCATGATCCGCAACGGTGAACCTGTAACAAAAGAAAGAGGAAAGCGAGCTATTTAGTGTACAGTAGGAGAAAATGATGTCACGAGAATTTGGTGTGTGTGTGGTGGTGGGGGGAAAGTCGAACCCAGCCTCTACTGCCTTCTCCTCCCCCAAGCTCCTCCCGCCCTCAGCTTCAACCTCTCCTCCAAGATTATCCTCCTCCTCCCAACACCCTCCATCCTCGTCCCCCACTTCTGCATCCCCCACCTCCCGCTGCTGATCATCTCCAAGACCAGCCCGGTGAATATTTCGATCGTCCTCCCCGCTCCTTCTTGATCGCGCAGACTGGCCTTGAGCTTCGGAAGTCCGAACATGCGTTGAACGGCCGTGTAATGCGTGTTGTCGATCGTGTCGAGCCCCAGTGCGTCGCAGAGCACGCCCCTTGCCGCGATCCAAACGTTCCTAGAGTCAACGCAGTCGAAGAAGTAGTGCTCCCGATCGTCCTTGGGCGCTCCACAGACGAGGCACGCGGGCGAGTCGTCGTGCTTTTGATGAAACTGCAGACTCCGAGTCGGGGTGAAGTTCCTGACGAGCTTGAACCACACCTCGCGTTCCCTCGCCGTCAATGCCTTCGAGTTGACCCCCTTCCAGAATCCCTTGAGATCGTCGGGCTGCAGCGAGTCCCTGAAACCGATCGTGTCGGTGAAGGCCTTTGCATTCAAGACTCGGCGGACGCGACGGATGGTGTATGGCCGATCCATGCTGAGCAAGTTGTATTGTGTTGATTGGTCTGGGAGAGCCGGTCTCGGAAGGCGCTGCGGCGGGTCGATCGGATGGGGCAGGATCGACTCGAGCGGCGTGGTGGGGCGGACTCGGGGAGGCCCGTTGATTCGTACTGCCGCCACCGGTTGAGCTATTGGTGTGAACCTCAATCGATTGATCGCATGTCGGTACCATGCCACGATGTGCTCTCGTTGTGGGCGGCCCCGTTGATCGTATTCGCTGTTGCTGACGACCACATCCGTCGGCGGCGTCCAGAGATGAAAGCCCCCGCCCGGGTACAGCTCGCGTCGAAACAGGTCCGCTACCTTGGCGTAAATGGCAAACGCAGCATAGTCGGCGTCGTAGGGTGGTCGCGACACAGCTGGTGCTCCCGGTAGGTAGTGAAGGGTGTGCAACTTGATCGGAAGAGCGAGAAGGTTCGCGAGCGTCAACGTCCTCGGCTTGACCTGCGCATTGTGCGTCGATGGTACCTTCAGCACGGCCTGCCATCTTGGGTGTAGATCGGTTCGGATCGGAGTGTAGTCGCAAGGCCACGCATCGGTTGCCAAGTCAAAGTCGGGGGCGGGATGGGCTCGTACAATCGCCGCGCGCGCAAGTCCCTGCCAGATCGCATCCGAACCGCCAAGAAGCACGTCCCAGACGCGTGCCGCAACCGAGTCGACGACGTCCTGCATCCGCATGACCCCAAGACCCCCCTTGAACCTCGGTGTGAAGACGACGTCCTTGCCATAGCACGACCTCCTCTTGCCGCCGCGGACAAAGTCGGCGAGAATGCGATCAAGCTCCTTGACGACCTCGAGCGGTGGGATGTCGGCGGAGAGGATGTGCAGAATCTTGGGAATGGCGTATCGGTTGACGTAGAACGCTCGGGTGTGGTGTGTGAGCCCTCGGTCCCGTGCCGAATCGAGCACCGCTTCGAGCCGTGCGACGAGATTCACGTTGGCGAGTTCGGTGTTGCCGGTGGGGTCGAAAGATAGGCCGATCCACTCGAGCGACTCGCCCTCGGCCTTGACAACGAGCGGACGATCGCCAGCCTCCCAGCGACACCCGATGGGTAGTACGACGGTCTTGTCGGTGTTGAGCCGGCCATTGGTTGCGAGCCTCCAGTCGAGCGCCAGGTCGTCGAGCAAGTTGAGTGACTCCGAGCCCGCGACGGCGACGACGACGTCATCGGCAAACGCAAGGGATGTAATGGCGCGGCTCTGTGGGTAGGGGTGAATGGTAGGAAGCGAGAGGTTCAGCGCGATGCCTCGACGGTGCAGAGCATCCAGGAACGGCTGGAACACGACATCCCAGACCGACGACGACGCCGGGTCCCCTTGGCCGAGCCCACACGTCAGCCGCACCGGCGGAGTCAAGAAGCCGTTGATGATATATCGCGCCGTGGTTGAGTCACCCGAGTAGAGCATCCTCAGAACGCGTTGGAAGGCGGCAGGAGCGCCGAGAGCGTCGAAGATGGCGAAGATCCATTCGTGCTCGACGAGGTCGTAAGCCGACGATTGGTCAAGAGACAAGAGCGCCGCGTCAGGGAACTCGGTGCCGCGCGCGCCCAGCTCTTCGATCAAGAGTCGCAGGTGGAATGACGCGTCCGCCGATCGGCGGCCCTTGACGAAGCCGTGCTGTTGCGGTGGGAGCAGGTCCGGCAGCACGTGGTTGAGTCGCGCAACGTAGACCTTGGTGAAGAGCTTGTAGTCGCACTCGCGCAAGGTGATGGGCCGGTACGACGAGAGCTCGGCGCGATCGGCCCCAATCTTGTGGTGCTTGAAGAGCAGGCGAGCGAGTCCTTGCCCCTGCTTCGGTGAAAGCGAGCCGCGCTCGGTCATCGCGTTGAAGGCCCTGCTCAGCGCCTTGGCCCACGCCCGCGGCGCTGTGTGATAGAGCTCGTAGGGCACGCCAGATGGATCCGGCGATCGACCGGGGTGTGTTGTTGCGATTGCGGCTACGACCTCGTCCTCGGTGATGGGTTGCTGCAGCAGCTCGATGTGCGCTTCCGAGAGTCGTCGCAGAAAGAGCGGGTCCGAGCTCGGGTCGTCGCAAGTGCGCGCCGACCTGATCGGCGCCAAGAAATCGTCCCTAAGTCGCTCGACGTGGTCCCGATCGCGCGGCTCGAGATCGTAGAGGCGCTGAAAGTGCGCCTGTGTGTGGTCAAGCGCGACGTCAATGTCATGTGTCAGCTCTCCGTTGGGCAATCGCAGTGCTGTGATCTTGGAATCCGAACTCCGTGCCGCGAGCTTGGCGTGGACCGGCCGCTCCAGTCGTTCCTCGGTAGCGATTTCGGGTACGTGGGCTCGGATCCGAAGTTGGCGCGCGCGCTCGTTGACCGCTCGCCTAAGTTCCTCCGTCGTCCGCGTCCATTCGGCCGTCTCCTCGTCCCCCATCACCGGCAATGCCTCCAGATCCTGCACCCTTCCCACCAAGACCGCCATCCGCTCCACCCGCTCCCGATGCTCCCTCCTCGCCAGCTCCCGACCCTCCTTCGCGCAGTTCCCCAGCACCACCTCGAGCTCCCCCACCGGTTCCTCCCCACTCGCTCCTTCCAACCATCCTTCCAACATCCCCTGGAACTCCGCCGTCTTGAAGGTCGCCGCGTTGATACGATGTAATTGGTTTGATGTCGTTGGTAAACTATTGTTGGGTTGAGCCGCGTCTCCTCGCTCATCCGAGAGAACTAGGACGATCGAGACCGGTCGGTGATCCGAAAGGTCCTTGGGGTGGTCGTAGATCGTCGAGGCTTGGACGAGTCGCTTTTGGTGGGTGCGCTGCAGAAGGAAGTAGTCAAGTCGTGAAAAGGACTTTGGTCGCTTGCGGACGATGTTGGGTCGAGTGAAAGATGGTGTGAGCGGGTGTTTGAATCGTATGCAGTCGGTGTAGGGCGAGTCGAGCTTGCCGATCAGGATCGGCCAGTGATGGCCGTGCCGACCTTGGTTCCGCCGATCGATCGCCGGCAGCGGGCAGTCGTTGAGATCGCCGCCGAGGAGTCGAAGGTGGGTGCTCTGCGTCCTGTGGAAATGTAGTTTGTCAAAGAATGTGAGTCGTTGTTTTGTATCGACTGGTGCGTAAATGTTGTTGATCTCGAGTATCCGGATGTCGCCTCGAAGTCGAAAGGAGGTGACCAGGATTCGTCCGTCGAGTGCCGAGTGGGTGCGCAAAATCTCGGCGTCGATCAGGGGCGAGTCGGCGGGGATCAGAGTCAGACAGTGTTTGCTGATGAAGACCTTGCCCTCGTACTCGTCCTTGATACATTGCCAGAGTTCCGGTTTGATGAAGTGTTCTTGTAGTAGAATGGCGGATGCTTTGAATGTTGATAAATAGGTGTAAATGTTGCGTCGCTTTTCCGGGATCCCCATGCACCTCCTCACGTTCCAGCTGGTGATGGTGTGCTTGATCATTATTGGATAGACGATGTAGACGTGCTCTTGGCGGTAGTGTCGTCCTCAAAGAGTGGGAATTCGGGGAGAATGTCATCCTCGGGCTCGTGGTCGGACCAGCGCTTCTCCTCCTCCACCCCTTTACCCTTCTCCGCTTTCGCCTTGGCCCCCTCGACCTGCATCGCCGCCGCCGCCGACATCGACCTCGTCACCCTCTTCCCCTGACCCGCTACCTCCTTTCCTGCTCGACCTTTGACCCTGTTCAGAACGCGCTTGATATCGACCGGGTCGTCGCTCGGATCGCTGAGATCGGCCACCGTTTGCGACCTCTTCATCTTCTTGTTCGACCCGGAGCCGGTGCCACGAATGTTGATGAATCGCAGTTGTCCATCTTCCTGACCCCACTCTGCAAATTGGTGGCGAACGAGCGGTTCCTCCGCGTCGAGTTGGGCGTTGATGATCGCCTCCTTTTCTGCTTGGACACGTGCAGCAGCTTCGGCGTTAGCTCGGTCCCACTCCGCACCCTCGCGCAGCGACTTTGCCAACGTCTCAGGAGATAGTGGAGGCCACGAGGGACTCCGAGGAGTCGACTCGCGGGAAACCGTGGTGATCGTCGTTTGGTCGTCGTCGATGATCATGATGCTGTCGTCCTGTACCCCCTGTTCCTGCTCGACCTCTTCTTCCACCTCCGTCTCCGTCCCTTCGTCCTCCTCCTCTGCTCCATCTTTCATCACGTCATCCCCATCGTTTCCTTCGTCCTCCCTTTGTTCGCTTCCCTCCGAGCTGTCGTCCTGTTCGTCCTTGTCGTCGTCCTTGTCGTCGCCTCCCGCCTTGTCGATGCCCGCTCCGGTGTTCCCATCCGAGTCCGAATCCTCGTCGTCCGCCTTGGCGCCCGTATCCTCGTCTCCTTCTTCGACCTGCTCCTTTTCCTCGCCCTCCTTTCCTGCATCCTCCTCCTCGACGTCATCCTCCTGTCCTCCTTCGACCTCGAGCCCCGCAAATCGGTTCCGCGATTCGAGTTGGTCGGTTCCGAGGGCGCGGCTAGGGGCCACAACCTCGGAAGCGTCGTTGTCGGTGTTGTTGGTGTTGGTGGTGTCGTTGTTGTTGTTGTTGGTGTTGGTTGGGTTGTTGTGGTACTTGTTGTGCCTTCCGGTGTTGTTGTTCGCTTCCTTCTGCCTCCTCTCCTGTTCCAGCGCGCAGGTCTCCACATGCCCCACAAAGTGGCACCGAGCACAGGCCGCTTCTCGTTCGTAGTCGTGACGAACCGCCGTATGCATGTTGCCTCTAGTGGCTAGAGAGACCTTCGACGGTAGGAGCTCCTTCAGCGTGTTGTTAGGGGCTTTGAAAAGGGCGTCGTCGTCGAAGCGGATAAAGGCCGAAAACTCGCCGGCCAAGTGCGCATAGGCCGAGTCGTTATCGACGTGGATCACGCGCAAGACTTGTACCAGCTCGCAACGGTGTCCCTTGGCTGTGATTTTGGTGACAATTGATTTAAAAGAGTCAACAATGGCATCCCTGGATGGGACCGCTGCGACACCGACGTTGATACGCAGCTCGACCATGTTGTGGTAGAAGTGGTGGGCCTTTGCGAAGTGAGCCTTTGCAGAGTGCCAAGTAAGCGCCAGTGGGGCCGTAAGCGCCGAGTCACGTGCCTTCGCCGAAACGAATCCCACGGAGATACGGTGGTTGACCACACCGGCCCTGACGAAAGACGAGTGTTGGATACCCCTAATCTGGGGCGCAAACGCCGCAAGGTGCTCGGGAAGGGTGACCTCGGCGTCGAAGCACAGGGGCGATTGCGGGGAGAGCAGTCTCGTGACGCAACCGAGCAGATCGGCCTTGTCCGCGGGAGAGGCCTTCGAGGCGCCTTGGACGGTCAAAGTGACGTCGAGAGCAAAGTCGAAGATGTTTCGAATGGATCGATTGGCGTTGAGAGCCGAATACTTGAGCGATGTAGCGGTAGCGACAGGGTACTCGTCGGTGGCGAAGGTGGCTTGCAACCACCGGTCGGTGCGATTGCCCGGTACAGCACCCATGACTTCGAACATTTGGGTCAAAGCCTTGGCACGGTGTTGTTGTTGGGTCTGCTGCTCGGGAGTCTGCTTGGTCTTTTGAATCGCGGCGGTGGCGTAGGTCGCGGCGGCGATAGGGACTTGCGTCTCCTTTGTCCCAATCGGGACGCTCGTCGCCGCGGACGCCGATGGTGGGGGTGGGCCGGTCTCGCCGGTCTCCATGCTAATGTAGGCTGATGTATCACTTGTAGCTTCGAAGGTGGTGGGTGGCGCGATTTCGAAAGTGAAAGTGAAAGTGGAAGTCTCCCAAGTTTGCGGCCGGAGTCGACATCAGTTACCGGTTTGTTCGTTGCAAGCATTGTCGGCGCGATGGCGTAGTTGTGAGGGCGCGCGGGCGCGCACTCAGTGGTCGAGGGTTCGATCCGCCCGGAGCGCGATCTGCCTTTTGGTTTCTTTTCCCTTTTTTGTTATCCGAGGCCCGGCTTCGGGGTTTTTACCGGTGCCTGGCGGGCAATCCTTTTTACCCCTGAAGCGACCTCGTGGTGTAGTTATTTGACTCAGTCTTTCCTTCGCTCGGAGCACTTCCCTCCCTTTGCTTTTGCCACCTTTTCCCCAGAGCTTGGTCAACTCTTCTAGACTCGTACCCTCCCTCTTTTTACCCATTTCGCTGGCAATTAAGTCCGTTACACTTGATTTGCTGCGAAGCCTTCCGACCGAATCCACTCCTCGGTTGCTCTCGGTCGACTGCCGCCGCCCAGTCGACTCGACCTTCCCATCGGCCTGGTCAGCTATTTCTTGGATCATTTGCCCTCCCTCTTCTATCCGACCTCGTTGGCCACCATAGTTCGGTACACTGGACTTGCTGCGAGCCTTGCAGCCGCGTATCCTCCGCGGTTGCCTCTCGGTCGACACCCCTTTCGCTCCTTCGCGCTTTCGCGCGCTCTCTTGCTCTCTCCCTCGTCTCTCGCGTGTAGTCATCGTCATCCCCTCCGACGTTGCCTGTCACTGCCAGTGCGATACAGGAGTCCAAGCGCGATCGGTGATGGACACTCGGTCGACCGATACATCCGGACAATCATTGAGATCGCCAGCCAAGATCCGAAGAATCTTGGGTCTCGGGGCGTTGAAGTGCAGAAGCCCGAAAAAGTCGCGACGATCGTCCTCCTGCACCGGTGCGTACATGTTGATGATCTTGACATCGAGCTCCTCAAGACGAAACACCGAGCGCAGAATCCGACCGTCGAAACGAGGAGCTCCTGCAAAGACGACCGGGGTAGAGGAAAGGAGATGGCCCGCCAAAGGTGAGCCATCGGGTATGAGGGTAAGGACATGAGGAGTGAAACGAATACAAGCCCCCGGCCAAGCACTCTCGAAGCCTTCGCGCGACGCGTTGTAGCTGAGGTGGTGCTCTTGCAGGAGGATGGCCGCAGGGGCCGGCCGAAGGGTTTTGAGATAACGGATGATTTTGACTTGGTTGACTGCGTTCTTCATCGATCGGACGTTGAACGTCAACACGGTGAGTGACTCAATCATGATTAAATCAGTTCAGCGCCGCCCCCCTCGAATTCGGTCACCTCGGACCTGTGACCCCCTGAACTGTTGCCCCCTGAGCCATCACTGTCAGGATGACAGCGTGTACTCGAAGGAAGCCCCCCCAAGACTATGTGCGGGTAGAGTTGACTTGACCAGAGACTTGCCTCGTTTCACAGCATCGTCGGTGCGATGGCGTAGTCGTGAGGCGCGCGGGCGCGCACTCGGTGGTCGCGGGTTCGAGGCGCCCAGACCGCAGTCTTCTTTCGGTTTGTTTTATCTTTTTGTTAACCGAGGCGCGGCTTCAGGGTTTTTACCGGTGCTCCCGCGAGCAATCCTTTTTACCCCTGAGGCGACCTCTTGGAGTGGTTGATTTGGCTAAGTCCCCTCTGGGCCTGGCACAGTCCCTTCCCTTTAGTTTTACCACCTTTCCCCGGGAGCTTGGTCCGCTCTTCTCTTTTGTTGCCCCTCCTCTTCTTGTCGATCGTTTGGGAATTAAGTCCGTTACACTTGATTTCCTGCGAGCCTTTCGACCGACTCCCCTCCTCGGTTGCTCCCTTGTCGACTGCCGCCGCAACAGCCGACACTTCCAGAAATCCCCCCCCCGTACCAACGCGTGTAGACGACGTCATCCCCTCCGACGTCGCTTGTCAATCACCCCCTGATGCACCGAGGATCATGGCGGATCCCGCCCGGGTGACACGTCGGTTGCCGGGTGCCGAGCTCGAACGAAGGCGTCGAGGACTCGTCGAGGCTATCGAGGTTGTCGAGGTTGCCGATGATCCCGACGTGCCACCGGACAAAGGCGAAGGAGAGGTCGGGGTCGAAACGGGTGCCGCCGTCGTCGTCTGCGTCTCCTTTGTTGAGCCCAGGGTCGCACGCGTCGACGTCTCTTCCCCAGTGTCGCCGCCCTCCGGTTCGGTCGAAACGACCGACTCGTCGTCGCCGTCGTTCGCATCGTCCTTGTTGGCGGTTACTGCACCTGCGGGGTTAGCACGAGGTCCCAGCTGGATCATGTTCGTGCCAGAGACACGAGAGTTCAATGCGGCAGGCCCACCGTGCTTCCCATTCTTTCCAGCAACTCGGAAGCCGATGGTCGAAGTCGAAGTCGAGGTCGAGGCCCCCGGAACAGGGGCGGCGGTGGCCGGAGTCGAAACCGGCTTCCTGCAAGCGCCCCACTGGTGTCCGGCGCGATCGCACACCGCGCAGTAGTGCATCTCGAATTCATGTCACAAGCCGTACTTGGCGCCCAGGATCTCGATCTCTTGTGGCAAAGCGGCGTTGAGCGCACCCTTCTGCGTCTCGATGGAGCCTTGGAAAAGATCAGCATGTAAGCAAAGGTACGCGCAGTGGAACCCGTCTTCGGTCATGGCCATCGGATCGCCATTCGGATCGACCGCGAGGCCCCGCTGTAATTGCATCAGGGTATAACCTTGCGTGCGACCTGCGCGGCCGAACGAAAGGGTGATAGCATCATCGAGAGATTTTTGGAGCACGGAAGCGGGGATCGCGCTGGAGGAGGAGGGCAAGGTGAATCGCACCTGCACGACGTGGTTAAGGGGAGAGGCGCTGGGGAGCTCGGTAACCATCTCCTTGCCGTGGTAGGGGAATGGGCCCGCTGAAGCGGCTTCAAGACAAGCTTGCTCGGATTCGAATACAAGCTCGTACATGTGACGAGCGATCGGGAACCTCTTCGTGGCTTTCGTCACAATCGGGTTCAGCTTCACGCATTTTGAGAAAAGCTTCTCGACCTCGGGGTCAAGCACGACGCCCTCGGGCCGCGCGAACATGAACGGCGTCTCGGCCAATCCAAAGTGCTTGCGCAGCGCGGTCTGTACAGGACCATCCATAATGACTCGAATCACATTGGAGGCCGGGGCTGCGTCGTTTCGCACCGCTCTTTGGGCGGCTCGTGCGAGCGCTGGCGCCTGCGAAGGCGGCGTCGAGGCGTCGTGCATCAGGACCATCAGTCGGCAGGTCGACTTGCTGGAGGGAACAATCCCGAGCACTTGGAAGGTCTTCTTCATCAGCTTCTCATGGTCCAACCGGACCTGAGTTGCCTCGGGCGACCAAGCTGGAGGATTCACAGTTCCTCCAGTGACCGCTTCACACGTTTGCGTGTTGAGTGATGAATCACTCGCGCCATTACCACCCAATAGGTCCTCGGGCGGGGGCGCATCGTATGAGACGATCACCACTACTGTCAGGAGAGGTTGAGAGTCGAACAGAAGTGATGAGAAGGAAGCTAAGAAACAGAAAGGGGGCCACGCTGGGATAGGCCCAGGCGCGTGACAATGTACATCCCTAAGTCAGCCGCGGGTGAAATCACCGGTGCGCCTAAGTCCCCACCGCAAGGGGGCGGGCTAGCGGGCGCGCGCATGAATCTGCCGGCGCTGGCGCGCTGAGGCAGTCGTGCGCGTCTAAGTCCCCACCGCCGGGGGCGGGCTAGCAAGTGTGCGCAACGACCGAGGCGCCCCTGTCGAGCTGAGAGTGGACTCTTCACACCCCCCCCCCACGCGAATGCGAGGCAGACCCAAGCCGCGGGTGTCGAGTGCGAAGGCCGAGGGCGTAGCAGTGCGTTGAGAAGACCTTTGGGCCGAGAGCCTTGGTGAAGATGTCGGCCACCATGTCGCTGGTACCCACATGCGAGAGAGAGATGTCGCCCCGATTCACCATGTCCCGAACAAAGTGCTCGCGCAAGCGTATGTGCCGAGTGCCAGAGACGCGGACAGGATCGTGAGCAACTGCAGCAGCGGCTTTGTTGTCAGTAAAGATGTGAGCCGGTGCAACAGGTTGGACATGGAGCTCTTCGAGCAGCTGACTGAGGTAAATCCCTTCCTTGCCAGCATGCGAGAGGGCGAGGTATTCAGCGTCAGTGGTCGAATCGGCAACTCGAGACTGGCGTTTGGACGACCAGGACACAGCCGAGCCAGTGATGTAGAAGACGTAGCCCATGGTGGACACCAATGTGTCGATGCAGGCCCCCCAGTTCGCGTCGGAGTAGCCTACCACACCCGTGATGCGAGCCTGGCCGCGAGCATACACGAGTTCGTTGCGATACGTGGCCCGGAGATAGCGTAGGATGTGCTGGACCGTGATCCAATGACGACGACCGGGGTTGTTGGCGAAGCGGGCCAGGTAGGACACGGCGAAGGCGATGTCAGGGCGGGTGCCGAGCGAAATGTAGAGGAGCGAGCCGATAGCCTGCAGATACCATGACCTGATCCGTTCGGTGCCTTGACCCGGGATAGCAGTGAGCGAAAGGCCGGGAGTCATCGGAACTGTAGTGCCGCGAGTCGTGGTGTCGAAGTGGAACCGAGCGAGCACGTCCATGATGTACCGTTCCTGGGATAGGGCGATAGAGCCGTCGTCGAACCGCCTGATCTGGATGCCGAGGATATACTCGGCCGGGCCGAGGCGCTTGACTCCGTAGCGTTGTTCCAGGCCTGAGATGACACGTTCGATTTCGGCCAGGTCCGGGCTGATCATCAGGAGGTCGTCGACGTACAGTGCGATGTAGTGTGGACATTGACGATCATCGAGGCGAGAGTATACGCAGTGGTCGGTGCCCGTCGCCGTGTAACCGAGGGCCCGAAGCGAAGCGTCGATGTGTCGATTCCAGATTCGACCAGCCTGTTTGAGCCCGTAGATGGAGCGTCGCAGGTGAAGCACCTTGTCGCTGGGAAGGTCGAAGCCGCGCGGTGCCGTCATCCAGATGTCGTGGTCAAGGTCGCCATGCAGATATGCTTTGTCGATGTCCGCCTGGTGCACGTGCAAGCCGTTGGCGGCCGCCAGCGCGAGGAGTGAGCGTATCGAGGAGAAGCGTGCGACCGGTGCGAACGTTTCGTTGAAGTCGATGCCGTCGCGTTGCCGATTGCCTTGCGCGACCAGCCTTGCCTTGTGTCCAGTGACTTCGCCGAGTGCGTTCCGTTTCGTTTTCCAGACGAACTTGGATGTAACGATAGTCGCACCCGCGGGCACCGTGGCTCGGTCCTCGATAGTGAAGACCTTGAAGTCGTCGCGCATGGAGGTGAACTCGTCGGTGGCGGCTTTGGCCCATACTTCACGCTTGTCGCTAGACATTGCCTCGCGCCAGGTCTGTGGGTCGCTCGTGATGGACTTGACTGGCTGAATTCCCTCTGTGTCAGAGGTGTCGTCGTCGGTGGCGATGAAGGCGCGGTGGTGTCGGGTGAGGAAATCGATTTCGTCCGGAGATTCGTCGCGAGAGTGGCGCCCAATGAGGTCGAGTTCGTCGGGCGACTCCTCAGCCGATGTGGGCTCGTGGTACGTGCTGAAGTCTGGGCGGTGCACGTCCTGTAGATCGAGGCGAACCTGGGGCTGTGAGCCGAGGAGGTCGAGGGGATCGGCGGAGTCTTCAGAGTCGGTCGGTAAGGCCGAGGGTGACGATGACGCAGCCGACGACGGTGAAAGTGCAGGCGACGGTGACGAGGACGGCACGGGCGACGGTGACGAGGACGATTCGGCATCTGTGAAGTTAAGTAAGGTTCCGCCAGTGTACCCTGGGGCCACGTCAACGGCGCTCATGGCAGAATCATCAAGGGGGGATGAGATGTCCATGTGCGCCGACCTTACTAGTGGGGCCCATGTCTTGACAACGGCTTGAGATTCGGTGGTGGGAGCACTGGCGAAGTGCGTGTCGTCGTCTTGCTCGGTGGGGTCGCCATGTAATCCAGGGAAGTCAGTGTCGAGGAACGTGGCATTTCTGCCAAGTATAATCTTCTGTGTCGTAGTGTCGTAGAAGCGAAAGGCTTTTGAAGCCAGGTCGTAGCCGGTGAAAAGAACGCGAACCGCCTTCGGGTCGAGTTTGGAGCGAAGTTCGGGCGCGACCGTAAGCCAAGCTGTACAGCCGAACGGGTGAAGCGCCGAGGCAGTGGTGTGTGTTAAGTCGTGTGTCTCGAGAGGGGACTGGATCGGCAACCAGTGAGTACACGAGACACAGTACGAGTGTTAGGAAGTAGTTTGGAGCGTTAGGGGGAAGACTAAAGAGGCTCGCGGTGCGAGTGCGCGAAATATCTCTAAGTCCAAAATGTTGAATTGCATTCTGTCAAGCCTTCGAACACTTCGACATCGGACCGCCGTTTGACGGACTTGCCCGCCTTTCGCCTCGCGCCTTCGCCTCAGCGCCTTGCCTCCGCACGCTTTCGCCTCGGTGCCTCGCCTCCGCGCGCCTTCGCCTTCGCAAGCCCTCACTGCGCCCCCTGTCTCTCGAGCCTCACCGCATGATCCTGCGCCCAGCCTCGTTCCTCGACCCCTGTGCGCCTTTGTCAACTCGCCCACATCTTGGTCTGTTCACCCGGTCGTCGCCTGCCCTGCCTGCACGCCACCACACACCTGCGCCACCTCTGCACCTTCGCAAGCCGCTGCCAGCCCTGCCTTCGCGCCTTCGCCTTCGCACGCCCTCGCATGGCGCTGTCTGTCTTGTCAGTGCACCTTCACTGGCCCGTGTTCTTCGTCTCCGTCCGAGTGCCCCTGTCAACGCCCTCGTACCTTTGACTGCCGCTTGGTCGCCCATTGCGCCCAAGGCCGCCCTTTCGCCGATGCTTCCGTGCCAGCCTGCTCAACTCACGCTCGCACGCCGCCGCCCTCACGCCCGGACTTAGTCAGCCCGCATTCTCCAGCTTTGCCGAGTCGATGCTTCCGCCCAGCTACCTCCAGTTCGCCGCCGCCGCTCTCATGATTCATCGGCCATCCAGAGCATCGCCCATGCATGACGTCCGTCGTTTGCAACCTGGATCTCGTCGCTGCGGATCGCCTCGCTCATCAACACTTGACCTTGTGGATAAGTTTCCCTTCGTGCCGTCGTCCAACACGACACCTCTCGACGCCCTGATGGCCCGCTTGGAGTCTGGTCCTTGAAGCTTTGCATTGTGTGCCTGCCCAGTTAGATTCTCTGTGCGCTCCCTTGCTAGAACCTCGCCCGACTCGCGCGCTCCCGCGCCTCTTTCCCTTTTCTCTATCGTTTCATCTCATCATTCAGACTGCTGAGATTCGCTAGAGAACAGATCGCTCGGCTGCGCCGCGGCTGCCTCTCCAGGCCGCGTCTTCACCGCCTCGCGACTTCTCGACCGGGGAGCACTTTGCTACGTCGTCCTGCCTCGCAACCTCCCGAAACGATCCGGTCCGTGCCGCCTCACGATTCTCCAGCGACCCCCCCGGTCCCAACTTAACAGCATCAAGGGCAAACTCCAAGTGGGTCATTCGGGTGCTGAGAGGGGTCGTGTTGGACAACGGCCACGAGGGGAAACCTATCTACGATGTCGAGTGTTGGTGAGCGAGGGAGTCCATAGCGACGAGACTCAGGTTGCGAACGGCGGGCGTCATGCATGGGCGATACTCTTGATGGCCGATGGAACATGAGGACGGCGGCGGCAAGCTGCTGGTGACTAAGTGGAGGCATTGGCTCAGCAAGACTGGAGGGCAGACGGCCAGAGTCCCGGCGTGGAGGCGGCGGCGCGCGGGCGTGAGTTGAGCAGGCCGGCGCGATGCAGGAGGGCGACGGCTTGGCTGCGAAGGCGAAGGCGCCGAGGTGAAAATGGGGCGGCGGCTTGGCTGCGAAGGCAAAGGCGCCGAGGCGAAAATGGGCGGACCTGACAACGGCGGCCCAAGGTTGAAGTGTTCGAACGCTTGTAGTAGAATGAAATTCAACACATAGGTGCGCGCGGAATGTTGAAGAACGAGTGCAGAAGACGGAGTGTGGACTGTGACGACGTTGGGTTGTACTCCCGATCAAGGTGTTTGTAGTAGGCCTGGGTGCGACTTTGGGTGGTTTCGACGGTGAGCAATGACTTTCGGACATTCCCGGCTACGCCATCCGAGACTTCGCGGACTGCGAAGATCTCGACGTTCTCGTGGTCGATGGCTTCCGCACGGTCGGGGAGGTTGCCGGTGGTGATGTACTCGTAGATGGTGGCGCCAACGCGGTCCTGTAACGTGCGGTCCCAAATTCGGAAGGTCTCGACGCCAGAGAGTAGAGCGTCGGCTGGCCAGGTGGAGAGGTGACATGGAATATCGATGTTGTAGACGACGGGTTTACGTTCGGTGGCCGGTGTAGGGGATGTAGTGAACTCACGGAGACAACGTTGGACTTCGAGGTGGATACGCTTGTCGATGCTGGCCGCCAGGGTGGGGTCAACGTGGCTGGGGGTGGACATCGGGCCGTCGGTTGCGTCGCGTGATACGTGGACAGCGGGTTAGGGTGCGGCCGGGCAGGCGTCGGGGGTAGGATTCGCAGGTGCTGCAGGGAATCGGGGCAGTTCAGGTCGATTGTGGCTCATAACCTGTTGTTTGTAGGCTGCAGGACCTTGGGAGGTTGGCGTAGCGACCGCTAGGGCTACTGTGGGAGCGTCGACATGGCTGGGTTGCAACGGACGGTCCGGGCGGAGAGGTCGTGAGGCGGTGCGGACGAGGTCTGACGAGACGAACGTGGCACGGCTGGACGGACTGTTCTCTACCGAAGATTAGCTGTCTTGCTAATGTTGGGAAGCGGTAGAGAAGAGGAAGAAAGGCACAGGAGAGCGCGAGTCTGGCAAGGTTCTAGCCAGCGGGTGCATGAGGGAATTTCTACCAATCAGACGAGCACGCTGCGAATGACAGGACGACGTCGGTGGGAGTGACGTCGTCTACACGCGAGAGGCGGGGGCGTTGAGGAGGATCGGCTGAGGCGGCGGCAGTCGACGAGGGAGCGACCGAGGAGGAGTGTCGATCGCGAAACTCGCAGGAAGTCAAGTATAACGGACTTTATTCCAACGATCAGCAAGGAGAGGAGGGCCAAAAGATGATGAGCGGACCAGGCTCTGGGGGAAGGTGCCGAAACAAAAGGGAGGGACTGCCCCAGGCGCCGAGGGAAATTAGCCAAATCAAACTACTCCACGAGGTCGCCTCAGGGGTAAAAAGGATTGCTCGCGGGAGCACCAGTAAAAACCCTGAGGCCGCGCCTCAGCTAGCAAAAAAAATAAAACAAACCGGGAGAAAACTGCGCTCCGGGCGCATCGAACCCGCGACCACCGAGTGCGCGCCCGCGTGCCTCACGACTACACCATCACACCGACGAAGCTGTAAAATGAGGCAAGCATCTGGTCAAGTCAACTCTACCCGCACATAGCCTTGGGGGGCTTCCTTCGAGTACGCGCTGTCATCCTGACAGGGGCTAGTAGTGGAATGACAAGCCGGCCCCGTAAATACAGCAATGCATCAATAATCTTGAACTCCGATGTGACCGACGCGATGTTGTTCAGGGCTTCCTGGCAGAATGCATCGGTTTTGTACGCGTCGACAATTTGCTGCTTGACGACATCTGAGAGCGAGACTTGCAATGTCAGGATCACAGCCTGCACTGCCATCAATACTCGAAGGAAGTCTCCCAAGTTTGCGGCCGGAGTCGACATCAGCTACCGGTTTGTTCGTTGCAAGCATTGTCGGCGCGATGGCGTAGTCGTGAGGGCGCGTGGGCGCGCACTCAGTGGTTGAGGGTTCGATCTGACAAGCGACGTCGGAGGGGATGACGTCGTCTACACGCGTTGGTACGGGGGGGGGATTTCAGGAAGTGTCGGCTGTTGCGGCGGCAGTCGACAAGGGAGCAACCGAGGAGGGGAGTTGGTCGAAAGGCTCGCAGGAAATCAAGTGTAACGGACTTAATTCCCAAACGATCGACAAGAAGAGGAGGGGCAACAAAAGAGAAGAGCGGACCAAGCTCCCAGGGAAAGGTGGTAAACTAAAGGGAAGGGACTGTGCCAGGCCCAGAGGGGACTTAGCCAAATCAACCACTCCAAGAGGTCGCCTCAGGGGTAAAAAGGATTGCTCGCGGGAGCACCGGTAAAAACCCTGAAGCCGCGCCTCGGCTAACAAAAGATAAAACAAACCGAAAGAAGACTGCGGTCTGGGCGCCTCGAACCCGCGACCACCGAGTGCGCGCCTGCGCGCCTCACGACTACGCCATCGCACCGACGATGCTGTGAAACGAGGCAAGCCTCTGGTCAAGTCAACTCTACCCGCACATAGCCTTGGGGGGCTTCCTTCGAGTACACGCTGTCATCCTGACACTGTCCCCCCAGAAGGAAGTCTACCGTGCGGCGAGGCGGCGGTTCGAGCGATCGAGGCGCGCGAGGTAGGCGTCGAGGACGGACGGATGGTCAAGGCGAATGGACTGCTCTGACATCCAAGTATCGTCGGTGTCGTTACGGCCTACCCATCGAACCAAGAACGAACGAGCGCCCCGAGCGTTCCGCCGATCGCGAACAATCCGTTCCGGAATCGCAGAATTGTCGGCTGCGTCGGCTACGTCTTCGACAAAAAGAACTGCGGGGTCACGCCCAGGAAACCTTTCAGCATCATTCTCAACGCAAGGCCGAAGCAGTCGAGCATGGAAACGATTGTGCACTCGCGACATCGCTGGAGGGAGCTCGAGGTCGTAGCTGGACGTCGCAGGGATGGCCGCTCGGATACGGAAGGGGCCGATGTAGCGCGGCAACAACTTCGACTTCATGCCGTCAGGAACTGCCAGGTTCTTTGTCGAAAGATAGACGTAACTGCCGGTCCGAAAGGCGGGGTCGTCTGGGCGTCGATGCTTGTTGGCCTGATGGGACTGGTTGAGGCGTGCTCCAATGATCGCATCCGTCACGTCAAGGTTCCGTAATTGTCGGATCCGAGCAAACGCTTCCGCACGAGGGACGTCCGAGACAGACCAGGAATCCGAGGGCCAACGTCGAGGAAGGTAGCCGTAGGTTGCCTCAAAAGCCGACAGCGACGTGGACACAGCAACAGAAGAGTTAAGAGCGAACTCAGCTTCAACAAGACGAGATGCCCAAGCCTCGTGGTTTGACGAGACCATGATCCGCAGGGTTTGGGTGACCATCTTGATCCGATTCTCGCTCGATCCGTCCGTCTCGGGGTGTGCCGCGGTTGACATTCGCAAGACGGTGCCAATCTTTGCCTGCAATGCCCGCCAAAACTGCGAGGTGAACTTGGGATCACGGTCGGAAACGATGGCGGAAGGCATCCCATGCAGTCGGAAGACGGTGGCGTAGTACTTCTCGGCAACGAGCTCCGAGTCGGCATCGGCTGGGAGGGGAATCAGGTGGACCATCTTGCCCCAAGTGTCAGTGACCACCATTATTTGAGCAACCATCATCCCTTCGAGCTCGACCGGAGGCAGTCCTGTCATGAAGTCGATGGCCACTTGTTCCCAAGGACCAGAAGGGATCGGCATCGGATGCAGTCGGCCATAGGGGACTTGAGTGGACGCCTTGCCTCGGGTACAGTCTTCACATGAACGGCAGAACTCGGCGCAATCGGCAGACATGGACGACCACCAGTACAAAGGACGGATGGCGGCCAAGGTGATGCGATGTCCTGCATGCCCGACACTTCGATGAATCTCCGAAAGCACGAGCTCGCGCAGCGATGGGACCTTGTCGGAGTTGACGACGCCAGTAGCGAGACCACGAGGCACAAACAAGGAAAGAGACTCATCTGGATGTACACGCAAAATCCTCCCTTCCTCGGTCACCCGAAACATAGGCCATGATAGCGGGTCGGTAATGATGACCTGGGCTTGCGAATCGTTGGCGTATGCTCGGATGACGGTGTCGAGGAAGGGTTGGGGCAGTGGATCAGGCGGCCGATGGACTACAGGGGTGTCGTTGACGTCATCGGTGGCAACTCCCAACAAATCGAGTTCGTCGGCGTCGGCATCGACCGGAATGGGCGGGTCGTTGGCGGGAGCCGCAGCGATAGCGTGAACTCGATTGACAGCGATGGGAGGAGAGAGGCGGCCGATAGACCAATCGACGGCGTCCATAATGTTCTCGGCCAGATGAGGGGAACCGGGAGAGCCTGCGTCGTAACCGTGACCCCAGGGCCCGAAGGCGCAATCAACAGGGGGCAACCGATCGTGCGAAGGTGAGGTGTAAGGACGTTCCTCGAGGAGGCTCTCACCGGGCGTAATGAACTCGTGGCATTCTTCCTTCAAGAACAAATTCCCTAATTCCTGTCCATTCACGTCCTCGTCTTGCGATTCCTCCTTGAGCGCGTAGTATCCGGGAGAGCCTGCCTCGCAATCGTCGTGTTGGGGCCCGAGGGCAAAATCAACAGGAGGCAACCGATCGGGAGATGGTGAAGTGCAAGGACGTTCCTCAGGGAGGCTCTCACCGGGTGTAGTGAATTCGTGGCGTTCTCCATCAAAGAACATGTCCTCCAACTCATTCTCCTTGACCTGATCCTCGTGTGAACCCTGCTTGACCTCCCACAGACGCGACAACGAATCGGCCAGGGTGTTGTTCTTGCCAGCAATGAATTCAAATTCGAAGTCGAAACGGCTGAGTTCGAGACACATGCGGATGTGCCGAGGCGTTTGGCGCAGTTTTTGGGTTTTTATCGTGCGAAGGGCCTGATGGTCGGTGACGATGACGAAGGGGTAACCGATCAAGTGCTGCTCGAACGCCCGACACGCCGAGACGACAGCCAAGAACTCTTTATCAGTGACATGATAGTTGAGCTGAGCACCGTTGAACTTAGCGGAAAAGAATCGCGTTGGAACGGCCTGCGAACGGTTGGGCCCGGACGCCAAACAAGCGCCAATGCCAACCCGACTGGCATCCGTGAAGAGGTACATCTTGTGCTCGCCCGAGGTAACCTTGGCGCCATCGATCGGTCGTAGGATGGCGGGCACAAGGGACTTGACGGTATCGAAAGCCTGCTGTTCTCGCTCGTTCCAACGCCATGACGTCGATTGCGCCATTAACGCGGTGATCGGCTCCAAAATCTTTGAGAGGTGCGGTAGGTGATCTCGCATCCAGTTGACGGTGCCGAGGAAGCGCTGGACATCGGTCTTGTTGCACGGGATCGGCCACTGACGGATACGCACCCACTTGGCGGGGTCGACTTCGATGCCGACGTCGGAAATGATGGTGCCCAAGGAGTCCAACGACTTTGAGAACCACTCGGACTTCTTGGATCCTAAGTAGAACCGGTAATGTCTCAATGTCATCAGCAGGATCTTGATGTGTCTCAAGTGCGCGCGACGGGTATCGGAATGGACGTGGACATCGTCGAAAAAGATCTTGGCGAACGGGAGACACGGCTGGAACATCGCCGAGGTTAAGAGGTTGAGGGTATTGGGCGCATTGGTGTCACCAAACTGCATGACCCGCGACGTGTACGTGCCCGTCACCGTTGCGAAGCCGGTGCGATCGACGTGCTCCGGTATGACCCGAACCTGCTCAAATGCCGCGGCCACGTCGAATTTAGAGCGATAACGCGATCGAGCCACCTCGTATCGAACATTGGTCATGTCCGGGATGGGCGAAAAACGCTTGACGGTGTTGCTGTTGCGCGCGCGGAGGTCGATCACGAAACGAGCCGTCTGGGAGTTCTTCTTCGGAATGGCAAAGACCGGAGCCGCAGAATCGATCGGACCCGAAACCCAGAATCGACCACGAGTGTACTTAGCTGAGTGTTCCGCCCACTGGCTGCGATATTTGTCGGCAAGGGGGTATACCCGGGGTTTGACCTTTTCGGTGGGATCGATCAACGGGATCTCGTGGTTGACTGGCCGGTACGGTGGGAGTTGGTCCATCGGTAGCGAATCTACGAACACATCAGAAAATTTCTCGAGTAAGGCAGCCAATCGTGTTCGTGCTTCGGACTCAGAGAAATCGTCGAGCGCCGGATCGTCGACGACATCAAGCAGCGGGTTGTGTGGCTCGAGGCCGATGATCTCGTCGTCGGGGAGCAACCCAGGGTGATTGCAGCCAATGGCAGAACCAGATAAGATAGGTGCTACGGTGACGGCTCGGTCCCATTCGTGCGTATCCTGGGCGACGGGTTGCGAAGGGCCGGTGCGCGCGACGGTGAAGGCGCCCCAACCAACGAGCATGCCTGTGTCCTTAAGAAATGGCAGCCCCAAGATGGCGTCGTACGCCGTTACCCGGCAAACGAAGAATGGTCGCAAACCGAGATCTAGGGCACCAGACGAAAAAGGAGCGGTGGCGAACACAGCACATCGGTCGGACTTATCCTGGGTGCCGAGGCGCAAATGCAACGGCGCAGTCAAACGGGCCGTTGCGAAGCTCGGGTCGACTCGCACCACCTCCTGATCCACCAAGTCGACCTCTGATCCCGAGTCGATCAAACATCGCAAAACCCTTCCAGAAGGTAGCGTCCACGCGATGACGTTGCGGGCGCGTACAATGGCGGGCTCGACAGGTCGGTCGGGTTCGTCGATGTCGATCAGGGGCACAGCGGACGCCAAGAGAGACACACCCGACGGCACAAGAATCTGGAAAGAGCTCACCGAAGCAGTCCTTTCCGCCTTGCGAGACGACACCACTTCCGGCCCCGGATAATGACACAAGCGCGACGCGGCATCAGCGTAGTACAAGACATCTTCCACCGTGTCAATCGCGATGTCAGCCAGGCTATCGTCGAGACGATGTTGATCTGCATCATTTGCCGGCACGGTTGGATGCGAACTACTTGATGAGGTCTGAACTTCAAAAGAAGAAGAGGCGACGTCTTTCACTTGACCAACAGGGTCTGCCGGAGGGCAAGAGTGGTGCGTCACTAAGGCGGATGCGGAACTCGACGGTCGAGTCAAATCAGTCTCGAGGGGAAGGGGGAATCGCACCTGGGGGTCCTCAACGTCACCTGAGGCCGACGACCATTCGTCCTCGTCCATGTCGGCGAAGGCAATTGCTGCTATTTGGACGGTCGAGGGGGATTGTCGCTCCGCTGTACAATGCTGTGAGAAATGGCCACCTTGACCGCAATTAAAACACGCCATGCTGGCGGGTACCCCACCCGATGCTGGCGAGAACCACGTGTTCCGATCCTTCCACAGGTGGGCCTGTTGCCATTTACCGGCGCGGTTCATCCATCGAGCTCGACGGATCTGAGTACGTGCGTCGTCGTTCGGCGTGGATGGGGCGGTGCGTGGCGTTTTTGCAATTGCTCCATAAGTCGCCGTACGAATCGGCGGGGTCGAAACTGATGTCGTGCCGGTGTCGTCGGCGATGGCGGCCCAGTCGGTAACCTCCTCGAGGGACGGGACAGTTCGTCCGAACCTCCCTATAGTCACGAGTGAGTTATCCCGATATTCCCGCAGCATACCAGCCCGCACTTCCCGCTTAGCCACATCACTCAACGATTGATAAAAGGTTGTGGCGAGTTGAAGGGGCGAGAGGCTGAAGCTGGGGTCGTTGTGCATAAACGCTCGGTAGCGGGCACGCCATTCGCCCACATGGTCGTAGGCGCGAGACGAAGACTGTCGGCACCCGTAGAAGTCGTGGGACACTCGGTCGGCAAAGCCAGGATCCGGCCAACGACGTCCAACTTCTGTCATCAGTGTCGTCCAACAGTGAGGTCGTTCGTCCCGGAGCGCGTCCGTCATAGTATCAACGGCCCAGTCGTGCGGAGACTGACGGCGCTTGGGAGAAGTTGAACGAACGAACAAGGTCGCCACAAGCTGGATGACGCGGTCGGTGGTAAAAAGGTCGCTGGTGGAAATGTCGCAAAGTAGAGACAAGTACGACTTCCCAAATGTAGTGAAAGTGACCAACCGATCGGGATTATCCCCTGTCCATAGCCCTTCCCGGTCAGGTAACGTCCCTCTCCAACGAGAGCTGATTACTGCCGAGGAAGGGCCGTCCCTTCGTGCGCTGTGAGATTCCCCCCCAGGGGAACGAACAAGGGGGTCAGCGGTATTGCCTGAACGTTCCAGAATGGTGTGTGGGGGAACGTCCAAGGGGACCGATCTCACCGGCGTAAACGTAAACTCCCCAGCCCGCGCTGCGGCTGGTTCAGAGAATCCAGCCCGCGCCACAGCTGGTTCAGAGACTCCGGCCCGCGCCGCAGCTGGTTCAGGTGAGCTTTTCAATAAACCCTCCACCAACTTCTCCAATTGCTGAACACGTTCCTCGGAGTCGATACGACGGGCTTCGGATTCCTCGAGGCGGCTTTCGAGGGACGATAGAGCGGTGGCGGTGTGGTAGGGTTGAGGCGGCGGGGACTTGGGCGGTTTCGCGCGGCCGGGGTCTTCGTCGCGGAGAGGAGCGTCTCGATCATCGGCGGCGGCACGGTACACGTCGCGCTCGTCGGCCATGGCAATCTCGTGACTCAAACGTCGGCGATTGCGGGGCGAACGAAGGCGAGCACGAGACGGTTGACGGAAAGGGTAGGAAGGATAAACGTGTTCGTCGTCAGACTCTGTGGAGGAAGTCGGGAAGGACAGCGACGCGTTCGTTGGTGATGAATTCGGCAACGGAGAGGAGGCTGAAGACTCAGGCTCAGAGAGTGGGGGCGACTGCTCGTCCAGGACGGTGGACGAAGCGGTTGTAGAGGTGCGGATCGTTGTCGGTAATGCCGAACTTGAAAAAAGTGACAAGCGACGTCGGAGGGGATGACGTCGTCTACACGCGTTGGTACGGGGGGGGGGGGGATTTCAGGAAGTGTCGGCTGTTGCGGCGGCAGTCGACAAGGGAGCAACCGAGGAGGGGAGTCGGTCGAAAGGCTCGCAGGAAATCAAGTGTAACGGACTTAATTCCCAAACGATCGACAAGAAGAGGAGGGGCAACAAAAGAGAAGAGCGGACCAAGCTCCCAGGGAAAGGTGGTAAACTAAAGGGAAGGGACTGTGCCAGGCCCAGAGGGGACTTAGCCAAATCAACCACTCCAAGAGGTCGCCTCAGGGGTAAAAAGGATTGCTCGCGGGAGCACCGGTAAAAACCCTGAAGCCGCGCCTCGGCTAACAAAAGATAAAACAAACCGAAAGAAGACTGCGGTCTGGGCACCTCGAACCCGCGACCACCGAGTGCGCGCCTGCGCGCCTCACGACTACGCCATCGCACCGACGATGCTGTGAAACGAGGCAAGCCTCTGGTCAAGTCAACTCTACCCGCACATAGTCTTGGGGGGGCTTCCTTCTATGAAGGAACAATATACCACTGCACCAAAAGGCGAGGCACCTCTCCTTCAGTGAGCGCATATTGTCCTAGAAGTGAGATGGAGCGAAGTTCAACACATTGTAGCCGACACGATGAGCAGGTACTCCTTTCTTGAGCCACTTCCCGTCATTGTGGCCAACATTTCGCATGACAGGCAACGTCGGAGGGGATGACGATGACTACACGCGAGAGACGAGGGAGAGAGCGAGAGAGCGCGCGAAAGCGCGAAGAAGCGAAAGGGGTGTCGACCGAGAGGCAACCGCGGAGGATACGCGGTTGCAAGGCTCGCAGCAAGTCCAGTGTACCGGACTATGGTGGCCAACGAGGTCGGACAGAAGAGGGAGGGCAAATGATCCAAGAAATAGCTGACCAGGCCGATGGGAAGGTCGAGTCGGCTGGGCGGCGGCAGTCGACCGAGAGCAACCGAGGAGTGGATTTGGTCGGAAGGCTTCGCAGCAAATCAAGTGTAACGGACTTAATTGCCAGCGAAATGGGTAAAAAGAGGGAGGGTACGAGTCTAGAAGAGTTGACCAAGCTCTGGGGGAAAGGTGGCAAAAGCAAAGGGAGGGAAGTGCTCCGAGCGAAGGAAAGACTGAGTCAAATAACTACACCACGAGGTCGCTTCAGGGGTAAAAAGGATTGCCCGCCAGGCACCGGTAAAAACCCCGAAGCCGGGCCTCGGATAACAAAAAGGGAAAAGAAACCAAAAGGCAGATCGCGCTCCGGGCGGATCGTGTCAGGATGACAGCGTGTACTCGAAGGAAGCCCCCCAAGGCTATGTGCGGGTAGAGTTGACTTGACCAGAGGCTTGCCTCGTTTCACAGCATCGTCGGTGCGATGGCGTAGTCGTGAGGCGCGCAGGCGCGCACTCGGTGGTCGCGGGTTCGAGGCGCCCAGACCGCAGTCTTCTTTCGGTTTGTTTTATCTTTTGTTAGCCGAGGCGCGGCTTCAGGGTTTTTACCGGTGCTCCCGCGAGCAATCCTTTTTACCCCTGAGGCGACCTCTTGGAGTGGTTGATTTGGCTAAGTCCCCTCTGGGCCTGGCACAGTCCCTTCCCTTTAGTTTACCACCTTTCCCTGGGAGCTTGGTCCGCTCTTCTCTTTTGTTGCCCCTCCTCTTCTTGTCGATCGTTTGGGAATTAAGTCCGTTACACTTGATTTCCTGCGAGCCTTTCGACCGACTCCCCTCCTCGGTTGCTCCCTTGTCGACTGCCGCCGCAACAGCCGACACTTCCTGAAATCCCCCCCCCCCCCGTACCAACGCGTGTAGACGACGTCATCCCCTCCGACGTCGCTTGTCACTTTTTTCAAGTTCGGCATTACCGACAACGATCCGCACCTCTACAACCGCTTCGTCCACCGTCCTGGACGAGCAGTCGCCCCCACTCTCTGAGCCTGAGTCTTCAGCCTCCTCTCCGTTGCCGAATTCATCACCAACGAACGCGTCGCTGTCCTTCCCGACTTCCTCCACAGAGTCTGACGACGAACACGTTTATCCTTCCTACCCTTTCCGTCAACCGTCTCGTGCTCGCCTTCGTTCGCCCCGCAATCGCCGACGTTTGAGTCACGAGATTGCCATGGCCGACGAGCGCGACGTGTACCGTGCCGCCGCCGATGATCGAGACGCTCCTCTCCGCGACGAAGACCCCGGCCGCGCGAAACCGCCCAAGTCCCCGCCGCCTCAACCCTACCACACCGCCACCGCTCTATCGTCCCTCGAAAGCCGCCTCGAGGAATCCGAAGCCCGTCGTATCGACTCCGAGGAACGTGTTCAGCAATTGGAGAAGTTGGTGGAGGGTTTATTGAAAAGCTCACCTGAACCAGCTGCGGCGCGGGCCGGAGTCTCTGAACCAGCTGTGGCGCGGGCTGGATTCTCTGAACCAGCCGCAGCGCGGGCTGGGGAGTTTACGTTTACGCCGGTGAGATCGGTCCCCTTGGACGTTCCCCCACACACCATTCTGGAACGTTCAGGCAATACCGCTGACCCCCTTGTTCGTTCCCCTGGGGGGGAATCTCACAGCGCACGAAGGGACGGCCCTTCCTCGGCAGTAATCAGCTCTCGTTGGAGAGGGACGTTACCTGACCGGGAAGGGCTATGGACAGGGGATAATCCCGATCGGTTGGTCACTTTCACTACATTTGGGAAGTCGTACTTGTCTCTACTTTGCGACATTTCCACCAGCGACCTTTTTACCACCGACCGCGTCATCCAGCTTGTGGCGACCTTGTTCGTTCGTTCAACTTCTCCCAAGCGCCGTCAGTCTCCGCACGACTGGGCCGTTGATACTATGACGGACGCGCTCCGGGACGAACGACCTCACTGTTGGACGACACTGATGACAGAAGTTGGACGTCGTTGGCCGGATCCTGGCTTTGCCGACCGAGTGTCCCACGACTTCTACGGGTGCCGACAGTCTTCGTCTCGCGCCTACGACCATGTGGGCGAATGGCGTGCCCGCTACCGAGCGTTTATGCACAACGACCCCAGCTTCAGCCTCTCGCCCCTTCAACTCGCCACAACCTTTTATCAATCGTTGAGTGATGTGGCTAAGCGGGAAGTGCGGGCTGGTATGCTGCGGGAATATCGGGATAACTCACTCGTGACTATAGGGAGGTTCGGACGAACTGTCCCGTCCCTCGAGGAGGTTACCGACTGGGCCGCCATCGCCGACGACACCGGCACGACATCAGTTTCGACCCCGCCGATTCGTACGGCGACTTATGGAGCAATTGCAAAAACGCCACGCACCGCCCCATCCACGCCGAACGACGACGCACGTACTCAGATCCGTCGAGCTCGATGGATGAACCGCGCCGGTAAATGGCAACAGGCCCACCTGTGGAAGGATCGGAACACGTGGTTCTCGCCAGCATCGGGTGGGGTACCCGCCAGCATGGCGTGTTTTAATTGCGGTCAAGGTGGCCATTTCTCACAGCATTGTACAGCGGAGCGACAATCCCCCTCGACCGTCCAAATAGCAGCAATTGCCTTCGCCGACATGGACGAGGACGAATGGTCGTCGGCCTCAGGTGACGTTGAGGACCCCCAGGTGCGATTCCCCCTTCCCCTCGAGACTGATTTGACTCGACCGTCGAGTTCCGCATCCGCCTTAGTGACGCACCACTCTTGCCCTCCGGCAGACCCTGTTGGTCGAGTGAAAGACGTCGCCTCTTCTTCTTTTGAAGTTCAGACCTCATCAAGTAGTTCGCATCCAACCGTGCCGGCAAATGATGCAGATCAACATCGTCTCGACGATAGCCTGGCTGACATCGCGATTGACGCGGTGGAAGATGTCTTGTACTACGCTGATGCCGCGTCGCGCTTGTGTCATTATCCGGGGCCGGAAGTGGTGTCGTCTCGCAAGGCGGAAAGGACTGCTTCGGTGAGCTCTTTCCAGATTCTTGTGCCGTCGGGTGTGTCTCTCTTGGCGTCCGCTGTGCCCCTGATCGACATCGACGAACCCGACCGACCTGTCGAGCCCGCCATTGTACGCGCCCGCAACGTCATCGCGTGGACGCTACCTTCTGGAAGGGTTTTGCGATGTTTGATCGACTCGGGATCAGAGGTCGACTTGGTGGATCAGGAGGTGGTGCGAGTCGACCCGAGCTTCGCAACGGCCCGTTTGACTGCGCCGTTGCATTTGCGCCTCGGCACCCAGGATAAGTCCGACCGATGTGCTGTGTTCGCCACCGCTCCTTTTTCGTCTGGTGCCCTAGATCTCGGTTTGCGACCATTCTTCGTTTGCCGGGTAACGGCGTACGACGCCATCTTGGGGCTGCCATTTCTTAAGGACACAGGCATGCTCGTTGGTTGGGGCGCCTTCACCGTCGCGCGCACCGGCCCTTCGCAACCCGTCGCCCAGGATACGCACGAATGGGACCGAGCCGTCACCGTAGCACCTATCTTATCTGGTTCTGCCATTGGCTGCAATCACCCTGGGTTGCTCCCCGACGACGAGATCATCGGCCTCGAGCCACACAACCCGCTGCTTGATGTCGTCGACGATCCGGCGCTCGACGATTTCTCTGAGTCCGAAGCACGAACACGATTGGCTGCCTTACTCGAGAAATTTTCTGATGTGTTCGTAGATTCGCTACCGATGGACCAACTCCCACCGTACCGGCCAGTCAACCACGAGATCCCGTTGATCGATCCCACCGAAAAGGTCAAACCCCGGGTATACCCCCTTGCCGACAAATATCGCAGCCAGTGGGCGGAACACTCAGCTAAGTACACTCGTGGTCGATTCTGGGTTTCGGGTCCGATCGATTCTGCGGCTCCGGTCTTTGCCATTCCGAAGAAGAACTCCCAGACGGCTCGTTTCGTGATCGACCTCCGCGCGCGCAACAGCAACACCGTCAAGCGTTTTTCGCCCATCCCGGACATGACCAATGTTCGATACGAGGTGGCTCGATCGCGTTATCGCTCTAAATTCGACGTGGCCGCGGCATTTGAGCAGGTTCGGGTCATACCGGAGCACGTCGATCGCACCGGCTTCGCAACGGTGACGGGCACGTACACGTCGCGGGTCATGCAGTTTGGTGACACCAATGCGCCCAATACCCTCAACCTCTTAACCTCGGCGATGTTCCAGCCGTGTCTCCCGTTCGCCAAGATCTTTTTCGACGATGTCCACGTCCATTCCGATACCCGTCGCGCGCACTTGAGACACATCAAGATCCTGCTGATGACATTGAGACATTACCGGTTCTACTTAGGATCCAAGAAGTCCGAGTGGTTCTCAAAGTCGTTGGACTCCTTGGGCACCATCATTTCCGACGTCGGCATCGAAGTCGACCCCGCCAAGTGGGTGCGTATCCGTCAGTGGCCGATCCCGTGCAACAAGACCGATGTCCAGCGCTTCCTCGGCACCGTCAACTGGATGCGAGATCACCTACCGCACCTCTCAAAGATTTTGGAGCCGATCACCGCGTTAATGGCGCAATCGACGTCATGGCGTTGGAACGAGCGAGAACAGCAGGCTTTCGATACCGTCAAGTCCCTTGTGCCCGCCATCCTACGACCGATCGATGGCGCCAAGGTTACCTCGGGCGAGCACAAGATGTACCTCTTCACGGATGCCAGTCGGGTTGGCATTGGCGCTTGTTTGGCGTCCGGGCCCAACCGTTCGCAGGCCGTTCCAACGCGA